CGGAATGGAACGAAAGATAAGAAAGTACCACCAAAATGTAAAGTTAGACTAGCTATGGAGCCAAACAAGAAAAAAAGGCTGAATCGGTTCCAGTACGATTGAACTGAAATGTACTAAACAATAATTTTTAGAGGCCTTCTCTAGGCTTGTATTTTTGCAAGTTAAAATACTAACATAAACATCACTCATTTTGAAGGTTGTATCATAAGTAACAACTTGTGCTTGATGCTCTGCTTCGTTGAATAATTCATTCGCCAACGTGATACAACTTTTGTGACTAAATATAATTAGGAGATCTGGTACAAGTCGAAAGAAATGAATCTCATTTATCAAAGGTCCTTTAGCAAAAGCATAAACAGAATAGATCTTATCCCTTGGAAGAAGATTCAGTGTTGAAGAGGTTTTGCAATGATTTATGATTTGCTGTTAATTTTTCACACTGTTATGTTTCAGGTAAACTTGCCTTTCTGATTCAGAAAGATTATCTGGCTCATTCGCAACATCTTTAGTAATTTTGAGAATATCATGGCGTCCAAATTTTATCTTTTCAACACACTGAAGCCTCGCGATCGTAGATTTAGACGTAGGAATGAAGGATCCTTTTTTCCTTGAATTACCATGTGGATATCTCTTTGCGATTGAACTATCACCTGAATACACCACAATAACTTTGTCACTATCATCTATCCAGTAAACGGGTTTCTTGAATCTATTTGTTGTATTTTTCTCTTTTCCATCCTTTATCATGAAATAAAAATACTGCTTGTTCAATTTGTTGCCAACTTTCTTCTTAGGTCCATATCTCATATCATAAAAATAATTATTATAAAATAATTATTATTTATTATAAAACAAGTGAAAAGTTGAACACCAATGATATCAATACATCATTCGAAAAAACGAATTCAAGGGTTACAAAGTGATGCCCAGAAAAAAGAGAAATGAGAATCGAAAAAGTTTGTCAATGATAATAATAATGAAAATTGAGACAGATTAAGAATGTTGATCATGAGGTTATTTACACTCATGTTGATGATTAAAATGAAGACCATGATAAGTGATAAGCAATAGATGTAGAGACAAAAATAAGTTTATGAGGATGGTATTTACTGATAAATTGAGTTAAAGCGGAAACAGTGTTAAGTCGTTGGAGAAAGATAAGTCTCAGTGGAGGCGACACCTTTTTGAATGACAGAAATGAAGATGGGATGAGAAGATGATCACAGAGAGTGAAAACTGAAATTCATCTTCTAAGAAAACGTGAGACATTTTGTTCAGTTCATTTTCAATGACAGAGCAAAATAAAAAACGAGTGAGTAGTAGAGAAAAGAGAGAGAGAACAAAAAATGAAAAAAATGTAAAGAAAAAGTAAAATTTTCGTCTATGTCTTAAATTAAATTTTCTATCAAAATCAGAATCAATATCACGATCAAATCTCTCGTGAAATCAAATCAATATACGAGTATGAAGTTCCAACTACACAAACTCAATTTATCCTAAAGACACAGAGGTGAAATGAGAAGAGGAAAAAGAGGAAATTCTGTATTGACCTTAAACCGAAAAAAAATGAATTTAGTTAAACAATGAAAGCAAATTCTGTTTATATTATGGTAACTTTGATGATATTCCAAGAAATTTATTATTTCACTTGAGTCACTGAATTTTGGTTCCATTTTCCTTTCTTTTCCTGTTCTCAATCATCATGATCATCATGGTTATCGTAATCATCATTCTCAGCATTATCTGTGATTCCTCAGAATTTATTGTTTATCTTTACCAAAGACAAACAACTTTTTAACAATCATTTTTCAAGAAAAAAAAATACCATCAGAAAAGTAAAAGTTTTGTCTTTTTTTCTGCTTCTCATGCATTTATCCTTCCAATTGACCAGTGTCCAGAATTCAGTCTGGTTGTAAAAGGTCACAACTTTTGACCAGCTTGTACAATTTGTATTTGTTTCTATCCAGTTGAAGGAAATTTGATAATTTTGACACTTTAATTGAAAGCAATCAACATTAAATTGTATCAAAAATGAAATAAAACTGTTTATCTAAGCAAAATAATCAAATTAAACTGCTGAAAAATAGGAAGCAATTTAAATTTATCCAATAAAAAAATGATCAATGAAAATAAAACTGATCAACTTTTCAAGCGGCAATTTAATCAGCTGATTATCAAAGATAAAATCAATTTCTCACCTAATAGGAAGCAATTAATTATTAATACAAAATTTGATACCAAAATCTAATGTTCATTATTGGCTATCTAATATATCTTGCAATATGAATTCTCGTTTGAATATATTAGATAATTAAGTTAATTGCAATTGATTAAGGAAAATTTCTTCTATTCTATTTGCATATTCATTTGATGGTATCGAATAAAAAAAACAGTTACGAAAATAAACTTTGTTGTGCCTCATCTATTTGGTGATGAGGTGAAGAAGAAAAAAATTGAAAAGGTAATCGGATACTTGGCTAGAAGGGTTTTAGATGATGATTATCATCATTATTATCAAAGGCAAATGATTATCTAGGATAAGTGTTTTTTTCTTTAGAAGATGAAGATGATAATGATGATGAAGGATCATCATAATCATCAAAAGGGTAAGAGATTGTGAGAGAGAAAGTAAAGTTCCATTACAGTTGTAACTCTTATCTCGCTGCTTATTATCAACAGTTTTTTGTACTCACCTTCTCACCTTCTCATCTTCATCCTCATCACCTCCCAATGATTGAAATGATTAAAAAAAACCTCTAATGGTTCATCTAATTACAAATAAAGATGCCACTTATCATTTAGATTTTTTTTATCTCTCCAAGTTCAGTCTAAACTTTTAATGAATCTGAAGACATTAAGTACCGTTAAGTTGATGAGGGTGTGGATCAGGAAGATGCAAATGATGATACAATAAAGATAAACATGTAAATAGGTTAAATCGATCAAGTAGCTGAATATATAATATGTTTTACATGTACAAATGTTGAATGAATAGTTTCAATAGAAAAGAATGAACAGAAAAAAAACTAATTTCTTTTGTTTTCGAATATTTCAAAATATTCTGTTACAGAATTTTCTCTCTCTCTCTCTCTCTCTCTCTCTCTCTCTCTCTCTCTCTCTCTCTCTCTCTCTCTTACTCTCTTTCTACACTCTCTTCATCTTCTCAAGACACATTATTTCACGAGAAGACTTGAACTATTATCATCAGTCATTCAATGGTTTATCTCTCACCATTCAGGTATATTACTATCATCAACAAGATCGTACATTAGATACATTAAATAATATTGATAACTATGTCATCTTCATCCTATTTTTATATTCATCAATCACAATTTAATATCAACAGCAAGAGAGAGAGAGAGAGAGAGAGAGAAATGTTATCGTCATCAAGAGATAACCTCACGTTTTTTTTTCTTCATCAACATTATTTCTCACTGAACATTATTATTACCTGGGTTTTGCTCTCTCTCGCTGTCATGTTACTAATTCAGCAAGTTCATGATTATCAAGATTCATTCTCATGTACAATTGAGTTTTGTTACATTGTAACATGAAAATCTATCATAATTTATGTAACTTTTTTTACCTCTATTTATACACACTTACGACATTCATTTACCATGTGCTACCATGAGAAACTGAAAAGGTTCAAATGTTGTTTTTTTCTTCATCAACGTTTCCAATGTGATTATGGATTAACTGTTTTTTAAAGCTTCTAATCCGTCAGGATAATGATTATAAATGTTGATTATTGATGTTTCGATTCCTAACCAATAGCAAATTCAAATTCAGATAAGATTCAATTGTCTCTCTCTATCTCTTTCTCCCTGATTCCTCAAGATTAGTTGGAGATGAAAGTGATTTATTAGTCGAAACAATTTAAGCTCATTATGTTGGCTAATTAATCATGAATCGGGCTGATGATTCACACTGTTGAGCTTAATTCATTTAGGTTAAAGAGCAATGATAATATCAGATAAGATTTCGATCTTAGATTGAAGGGAAAATTAGTAGTAATTATCAATTAGATTGTTTATAGAGGAACAAGATGATGATGATGATGGAAAAGATTGTTCGAAATGAGTTTAGTGTGAACAATTGATGGAAAAAGAGGAAGAAGGAATGAGAATATTGAGAGTGAAAGATGAAAATGGAAGATGATGAAAAGCGAGAGAAAAAAAGTTGAATGTAAAAATTGCATTTACTATGCATTCGAAATCATTAATGGGAAATAATAATAATAATAAAGAGAAGTTAAGATTTGATGAAGATGAGGGAGGAAGATGATGATGATAATGATGATGATGAGAAGGCAAAGTAAATGAAACAACTTAAGAAACTTTTTCTCTTTTCTCTAGTGGAAACGGAAGTCACCGTTTTCTTGGTTCAATCAACGTTATGAATTATTCAGAGAGGGAGAAACTTATTAATTTCCTCTTGATCTTTTTTTTTCTCTCAAAACCTCAGAATCTCATCCTAGCATCGTAACTGGATTTAATTATTGGGTGAATGTTGAGAGTTAAAGAAGAGGAAAAGATACAGAATTGGAGAGGTGAGCAAATGAAGGTGGTGGTGGTAGTGGTGGTCACTGGTTGACCTTTTCACTGTCACGGTGTAAAAGAGTAGGAGTGGATTGGATAAGAATCAATAAATTCTGTTGTTTATCAGATTCTTGTAACTGTTAATTCTTATCGATTGATTGAGGAAGAAGATTGTTAGAGAAACTAGAATGATGAGGATGAGAAAGTAAAGAAGTTAAGAAGAAGATGAGAGAGATGAAGATAAGGATAATGGTGATGATGATGATGATGATTCACATTGTTTGTTACTTTATCATTATTATTATTATCATCATCGAGCTGTATATAAACCTCTAGTTTTTATCTCTTCCTCAGCGATTACTTGTTGTAATCAAAGTTAATTCAATTGATTCTGATGAAGATAAAGAGAGAGAGAGAGAAATCTTAATTAGGTTAAACATGATTGGTAATCCTTACCTGTTCCCATTGTTTTGGCTGAGATAACTTCACTGGGTTGACCTTTTCCTAGAATTCATTGATAACGATTATCATGATGAGAAGGAAAAAGAGAATAGAATAATAAATTAGATGATTCAAATCTTTATCAATTAATGGAAAAGTTAATTAGACCAACAAAAGTCAAATAGCTGATTACTTATCCTCTTCACAGAACTAAGATTTTTACTCAATCAAAATCTCTCAATGAGAAAACAATAAACTCTCATGCAGCAAAATTAACCCATGAATTAGAGCTAAGTAAAGTTAAACTGAATTTAATAAATGTTCAACTGAATGGTTGATAATTTCAATATTTCCCAATCATTTGTTGTATTATTTGGATTCTAACTAATTGGAATCATCTTCATCTTAATTCAACTGACCAGTTCAAGGCTCATAATAGTGATGGTGAAAATCTAAATGAGTTTTTGTTCAATCTGATTAAGTCATGAATTCAGTGTCAGAATCGTTACCTTGATCATTGTAACATTTGAATTGGAGGGAATATTTTATGGAATGGTGATAAAAAAACATGATACTAAGATTATAACCTGGACGGGGGAAATTTTAGTTCATAAGTTTGTCAGAATAATCATAATGATCATGTTCAATGGCTCAGATTGTTACATTTAGTTGTGAACATAGTGGTAAATGCTAAATGATCAATCTAACTGTTTTTCATTTGATAGGCAGAACCAGAAAATTTGAGAATATTGGAAATCGAATTCACAGTTAGAACAATTTAGAAAAAAATAATAGATGAAAATATAACAATTCGACATGAAATTGACTCTCACTTACAGAAAAAGAAAATAAAAGAAATCTCAAAGTTCTTTTAGTTGTAACTTAAGGTTAAACTCAATTGAATCTCAACTCAATTGTCTCTTATTCGTGCTGATACTCTCAACTAATAGCATCAGGTTTCACTATTGTTATTATTATAACATCAAATCTCCGGAACTGAATCAAGAATCGTAAAGTTTTCACAACTTTTCACCTTGTTATCCTTAAATTTTTTCATCATTTCAAGAATGAAATGGTTTAAGAAAGAAAAAATTACCTTCTCGACCTTAGAAATAAACAATTAACTTTGATTTGATTGGAAACTTTGCTGAAAAGGTTCAGAATTTTTTTATTCTTTGGTTTCACCTTATCTGTTGATGAACATTCCCAAATTCTATTGCTGATTGGATATTATTGCATTCACCTTTTTTCCCTGATAATGGACTTTACTACTATCTGTTATTGCTCAAGATTCTGATGATTATCATGTTTGTTGTTCCCATGTCTCTTTCTTATTATTCAAACCTCGTCCTTTCCCAGTACTCACGTTGATTCAGAACACGTACAAAAATTGTTGAGAGGCAAAGAAAGAAAAAGAAAAGACTTTTCCATCTCTCTCTCTCTCTTCCTCTTCTTATTTCAAATAGAAAATCTCAAAGCAAACAAAAAGTCAACCTGAGAAAACTAAGGAAACTCTCTGGTGATAATACATAAACTATTACTTTTCATTATTACTATCAAGTCTTTCCACACCACCATAACCCATCAACTCCACCACCTATGCCATGAACCACCTCCCATGTTTATCATTATCATCAGTCATTTCCTTTTGATTTCTTAATGGACGACGACACTCATTGAACTTGAAAGAAAAGAAAACGTATCGAGAAAAAGAAAATACCTTCATCATCTTAATATTAACAATATAATTGATTGATTTCGATAAAATTCTGAAAACCATTAAATACTCTGAGAGAAATTATCTCTCTCATCTCAACTGAACGCTATAAAAAAAAGACTAACCATCAGAGCCATTTAACAGTTAAATATGATCCAAGTGCTGATAACTTTTCCCCTGGTCGATTATCATGATAAACTTACCCGCCGAGTTGAATGGAATTATGTAAAACTGATATCGCTTTCCACAGGCCAAATTCTTGACGGTGTAACGCAATTTATCAGCATAAATTGGTATCTCTTCCCAATCACCTTTCTCGACCTTATAGTAAACAATATAACCCGACATTGGATCCTGCGGAATTGAATCATCAATAATATCCCATGAAAGTATAACTGAATTAAGTGTTGTTGATGAAACCTTCAAGATTGGAGCATCGGGTGGATCTGGTAAAGCAATTAAACAACAATTAAAAGTTAATAATTAGCTATACTATTATTAAATGTAATCCAACCATTTAGCTCAATACTAAAAATATAATATCCATACGAAACAAGATACACAATTTAATTATCCCTCATTGAAGTGAATTAAGATTATTAAGATGAGATTTAATCAAAAAAAAAAAAGTTATTGTTGATTAAATATAATGAGCTACAATCAATCATTTAAATAGCTAATCCAATAAATCAATTATCATTATGTTATTATGATTATAATGTAACCTTATTTTTTTTAATAACATTAATTGATTAAGTCTATGAATGTATGTTAATCAAACTTTCTTAGTCAATTAATTATCCCCTTTAACTGAATAATATATAAAAATAATGCCAATGGTAATTAAGATTAATGAGATTGTGATTATCCTTTTTTGAATGTTAATTTGATTCAACAATTTGATTAACCACACACATATAAACACTTAACTGTTAATGATAATTTCTTGATGATTATCGTAATAATTTAATAATGATTGATTTAGATTCTAGTTTCATAAATGATAATCTAATTGATTTACATTGTGTTCAAGTGTATTGATGATTTTCAACATGGAAAGAATAATTTTTTTCCCTTTTCATCATTATTTTGATAAAAGAGAGAGAAAAAAAATTGAAAATTGACCAAGGGTCAAGCTTAAAATTACTACTAACCAAACTCGAGAGTTTGAGCCTCAATTTGATCTGATGGTGGACCAGCGCCCTTTTTATTATAAGCTTGGACAATTATCAGGTAACGGGTTAGCTTTCGGAGTCCATTAATCTGACAGGTTTCCTCGATATATTTATCATCGGAATTGATTGGTGATGATGGAGTTACTGGTGAAGATGGTGATAATGATATGGACAATGATGAAGATGATTGAGATGATGATGAAATTGATTTCGCTTCAATAGTTTTATATGAAAATTCATCAGGTGATGATGATCGCTGCTGCCGATAGCCGACATAATAGCCCAAAATTGGACCATTTTGCTCTGTGGTCAATGGAGGTCTCCAGTTAATCTGTAAACTTGTTGACGAAATTGGTACAACTTTAACATCTCGAGGTGAGCCGACGGAGGTTCACCTTCAGTTGTAACACTTACAGGTAAACAATCAGTTGAAATACCGAAAATATTTTGTGAACTCAATGTGATAAGATAAGTTGTCTGTGGTTCTAAACCTTTAACGATATGATTAATTCCTGTAGGTGAGATAATCTCCTTGATTATCCCTTTACCATTTCCAAGTTGAGTGTAAAAATTATTCGCTAATTTATATTCCAACAGGTAACCAGTTATCGGTGAATTACCGTTAAAAGGATGTGTCCAGGTTAAGGCAAATGAGCGGCTTCCAATCTCTTCAGTTTTAATATCAACTGGACAATCCGGTGGTTCTGGACAATAAAATAATAGCAGTTGACAATTAAAATTTGTAATACAATTATTATAAGGTGAAAATACTGATTAAAGTTAATATAACTCTTTGGTCACTCTTGTCTTTAATGTTATTGGTTTTACTTTGTGTAATTAAATGACCGAGATCATGTTGATGATTAAACTAAATGATGAAAATCTAATTCAGTTAACCTTTAAAACCCCAACTGATTTAGTGTATTATCATCAATTGAATGGTAAACAATTGAATCCTATTATTATTATCAATGATATTATTGACCAAGAATATGTTTATTGTCCATCTGATTGGGAACAATTTACTTTTATGACCATAGTCCGAGAGGATCTTTCATTTTCTCATATATATAAAGTAATGATATTAACTTTTCTTAACATGTTCTTCCCATGTTATCATTTTCGTTTTCTATTGTCTCTATTGTTTCTCATGATGATACAATAATATCACCAATCTGATTAATCAGAATTTTTATTCTGGAAAAAGCAAAAGGGATAAAGATCGTCCAGATAATCACAAATCTTTTCAGTTCACATCTGAATACTCATAAGATTATCTTTGATAATAATGATACAATTATTGTCTTTTAATTTCCGTTTCCTTCATCATTCAGATATATATATTTATTCAACTGAATTAAAAAGGAAAAAGGTAAATCAAAGTTTTACTTCATGAGAAAGAGAGATGATGATGATGATGATGAGATAAGATAAAGAAAAACCCCTCAGGGTATAATCCATTGGTGAACATCAAGATGATTGGCTTATATTTATACTGGAATGAACCTTGAGTCCAGAACTTTTTTTTTCTTCAACAAAACTAACGATCAAATTCAACCAATCAAGTTTATCCTTGAGGCTATTGAATCATCACAATGAATGGTAAGAAAGAAAGACAGAAAGAAAGAGGAAAAGATGAGCAAGATGATGATGATTAGAACAGAGAAAAAGATGAAAAGGACAAAAATATGAAGATAAATCTCTTGAAAGTCTTTCTCTTCTTCCATTATTATTGATTGGTTACTATTCTGAGCTGAATGTTGAACATAACAATCAAAATCCAATGATAATACCATCTAATAAGTGTCAATAATTTAGTTAATATTGAGAATGAAACAATTGGTCAATGAAATGATGAGTGATTTTTTTTTCACACTTATCATGAGATTACACTCACAGTTGATGTACTTGGATCATGATGATCGAGTCTTCAATGTATCAATCCAATTGACAGATATGAAAACTTGTCTCTATCAATTGAAACCTCAAGAGTTCATAATAATATGTAACTTATTATGTTTCAAAATTTTCCCTTTCTAGTAGATTAATTTGTATTATTTTCATATGTAAAATAGATGAAACCTCAAGGTAAACATGGAGCGAGATATAAAAATGTAGGTTATCTTCATGAGGGAAAAAAATTCAACAAGAAAATTCAAGATTCACTTGCTCAAGTTCGTACGATGACTGAACCATGAAGCATTTCCATGGGAGATATGTATGATAAACATTGAAAGTAACTTTGGAAAAAAAGTTTTTCCACCTCAACACTACAACAAACTCTCAACATTTTGTTACATTATCTCTGTTTAAATCTCTAGTGAGGATTTACAGTCTCTCACCTTTTCCTTTTCTCTCTCAGAATTATTCATGATACAAAATGAACTGATCAGTGGTGATAAGTGTTATACACATCATCAAGGATAATTAATTTGTTCACATGGGTAGGAAGGAGGATTGAGTTCATTTGATAGGATTAAAAAATTTCAGATCAATTATTAAACAGAGAGAGAGAGAGAGAGAGACAAACATATGATAACTTTTCACTTTGGTGTAAAAGTTTTATCACCATGAGATTGAATTTCCCATGTTAACAACAAGATGAATTTAAAGTTGAAAATTTACTCATGAATTCAGTGTTTCATCTCAAGTGACCCTTTCAAATTAATCTTGTATCACTTTTAATCCACTTTGATAGGGAAGGTTAAGTGTAATTAACTGTGCAAATCAATTGGGAGATAATTTTATCACTCCAATCATGATAATAATAGTAAAATGTCATTGTCATGGAAACTTTTTTGCTTTCTCCATTCACTTTTCATTCAATCATGATTGATGTTCAGTTGATTCAGTTTCTCTCGTTGAATACACTTATAATTTGTGGTTCTTAATATTATCGTTATTATCTAGATATTTCAACTGAATATTTCTTGGTTTTTTTTTCTCTCATGGAAATGATTACATGGGAATCAACCCTTTCAATCTGATGGATCTTTTTCTCATATACTTGTGACTTTTTTCATCCTCCCTGTTGAAATATTTTCTGAATTATCATCGTCAGGGTAGCGACTGGAAAATAACATGGTTCTTATTGAAAAGTGAGACAGGAAAAATAACTTAATACCTGAGAGACTGAGGATATTTATTTGAATATTTGAATAAGAAAATTCTTGCTGTTGTTTATTCAATAAATGGGAATTTATCTTGATTTAAAGGTGATAACAAAATTCTGAAATGAGAAAACATTGAGTGAAATGAGAAAATAATTGATTCAAATTGATAATTATCATTGAATCAAACACCAAGATCAAGATTCTATTGATAAATCAAAGTGAATAATAAAAATAATCTCAACATGAGATCAATGTTGAAGTGAAATCATTACATGGTTATTCATATATATACATATTCTCATGGTGGATTGGGAATCGAGGTGAACAGGGAATTATATTTGACAAATATATTTGTTATCATCATTATTATCGAGAGTTCATCTAATGTTCAATGGGAATGTTCAGTGTTTATGAATTTTCTGACACGAACCCAACAGAGTAGGATAAATGTTAACACCATGTGATAAATGATTACTCACCTTGAACAACAATTTGAAAATTACTGTTATCTTTACCATAATTATTTTCACCATGACAGGTAAACAAAGCGGAATCACCTCTTTCCGTTGCTCTTATTTTGAATATCGATTCAGTTTTGTCACTTTTTTCTATCTGTTCAAAGATGTACCTGAAATTCATGAGACAGAAAGAGAGAGAGAGAGAGAAATATTCAATTACAAAAGTTATTCTTCTCATTGTGAAAATTACCATGATACAACTGAGAAGTGTTCACATGCATATTTTGATACACTTGATTGAATCTTTGATTTTTATTGAATTATTTTCATATTCTTTCTGGTACTGAAGTTTAATTCATGATATTTTTTAAGAGGAAATAAAAGTTCATTTCAGATGATCGAAATTGGATATTAAATATTAACATCATCTAATTATCTATCAGATGAATTGATGAACTCGATTAAAAGAAGTAAATTTTTACCAAATTACAAAAGTATCATGAAAACGAAGGTAAATTTAATCTAGTTAGCTAGATATTAATCTCATCAGAATCATTTTCTACATACAATAATAATGGTAATGATGACCATTAATACAAAAAGGTAACATCAATGTTGTGGTCAAGGAAATAAATAAACAATTGGAGATTGAGAACAAAACAAGAAATAAAATGTTGTAGAGATTGAGTTCGAATTGAATTTTGAAATTGAGTTATCGAAATGAGCTGAAAGATCAAGAGAGTAAACAGTTGAAGCGAAAACTATTAATACTTAAGTAGATGAGAGGATAAGAAAGATTAAGATTAGGATGATAAATTATTCGGGATACTAAAGAAAAAATGAGAGAAAAAGTTCTCAGTATATAAATTTGACCTCAGAATCTTTTCCAATGAACATTTTTCTCTGAGAATTTTCAATCTCAAGCTATTCTATTTTTCACCTTTACATCGAGTTCATCTCAAAGTTCATTTCAGATTGAAAAGGAGCAGAGAGAGAGAGAGAGAGAGAGAGAGAGAGAGAGAGATGTTGATTGTAATGATGGTGATTCTGATGATTCTGAGGTTTCATGGTAAAGAGATGAAAGTAAAAGGAAGACAAAAATTCTGGGTAAAGGTTTATATTATTGATATAATGTTACTTAATGATATTTCACTGATTACCCTCATCATTATCATCATCAGAATTATCTGAATCTTCATCATGAAGCAAATTTCATATCATTAACAAGATTATCTGAATAATAATAAATGTAATGGTCAACATTAAAAGGATGATATTAAATTTGATTCATTTCTTTACATAGAAGATAATTATCATTATTTTTATAAGGGTTATCATGATTACTATAATAATTATCATGGCATTCAGGCAAGACGGTGAAAAAAAGTTTCAACTTTTGAATTTTTCAACTTATTCTTACCTTGGCTCAGTAGTCGGAGTAATTAGTTTCCTGTCACGAGTCCATGTTATCCTGATATCTAAATAATAATAAAAATTTGATGAGCATTTTGATTATACTAAATTGCAATTAGGGGATAAATTAATTGGGCTGTTGATTTTCATCTTCAGGGATAATCAAGATTTTCCCAAAAAGTTCATTGGCAGATCTTATTGTTAGTTTAATATCTCGTGAAAGTTTATCAAATAAAATGGTCAAGATGTAAATGCTACAGTTGTTCAGAAGTTCATTCTCAATTTTCATGATTATCCGGAGGAACCTTAGTTCATAAGAAACAAGAACTTATTTTTTTTTATTGTTTTTGGAACTTTTTTTACTTTCTTGCTGTTTATCATATTCAGTATCTTTTTCATTCCCTGAGATCGTGTAATGTTTTTCATGAACAATATTGTTGTTCATGAATGTTCATATGAACCATCAACAGCCACTTGAATCTCATCAATCAAAAACTTCTAATGTAAAGGTGACTCTTAATGTTACCCTGTTATTTTTTTTCCTGAGACCTCATGGTTTCCAAATTTTCAATAATATCTTGAAATTCATGATAAGAGAAATAGAGAGAAACTTTTGATAGAAATTAAGAAAAAAAGGTGAGATTCGAGTACGTGGAGGAGAGACGATAATGATGGTAGGATTTTCTCAAGAAAAATTGGGTTTAGAAAAAAAATCCAAAGTTTTCGGAGGAAAAAAAGTTCCAGATTTTTTTTTTCTGATAGACTAAGAATCTGAACATGATTGAGTTTCCATTGAACCCGTCGACATTTCATCTTGATGATCATATCTTTTTCTTTTTTCCTATTTTTTATCGTCGTTGTCTTCATCTTGAAAGGTTCCAATTCCCATGTGAATTTTATTATAAGGTGTGAAAGTTTATATTCCATGTAACATGAACTTGGATAATCATGAGAGAGCAACTGTAATCTTATCAGAACCCAGTTTTCTTGCTGAATTTTCATATTCCATTCAATTTTTTCTAGAGTTCCAATCATACCGAGCACGAATATTATCATGCAAGGTCACCCAGATTATGAACTCTCAAGTTAAAATTCATTAACCTAATGTATAACCTTGAATATCAACGGATAAAAATGAGCAAAATTTGAATAGAGTTCATCAAAATGTAGTCAGAATTATTATTTCATATTTTCTTATTTGAACATATGTGTGTATCTATTTCTCAGAATTCACCATGAAAAGTTCAAGATGAGAAGTCTATTATCAACCTGTTGATTTTCCCCCTGAAACTTCCCAGATAATCAAATTAACTGATTGATTTAGGAAATGTATAAGTGTCAATCTAATCAGATTTCGAGTTATTTTCGAGTTGAAAGTAAAAAAAATCATGATATCAAATCTTTCCAACCTGAAATTCAATAGGAATAAAAAAAATATAATAATTCAGCTTCAATCATGTTACTAAATTCAATTGGAATAAGTTTATCAGATAAAAAGTTTGAGAATTTCAAGAATTTTATCTGAAAAATTGTTCAACAGAATATGGATGTTTATCATGTAAGTAGAATCTAATTAACTGAAGATCAATCATTTCAATCATTTTGGTGAAAATTGTTCAGTTCCAGTCTCACCTTTTTCACCGATAGCAACACAACGTATGGTAACATCATCGCCCAATTTTACTGAATGAGTTTCAAACTTTTTCTCAAAGTGAGCAGCAACTGTAAGAGAGTAAAAGAGATGATAATTTCATGATTAGTTAATCAATTCTACCAATGAATTGACCGGTCACTTGCCTGAAACTGTAACTCGGACCACCATACTTGCTCCAGGACCGATTCCATTCATTGCTTGGCACATATAATGACCAGCATCTTCCTTGGTCACCTCTCGAATAGTTAATGACCCGTTCTCGAGAGTCTGGATATGTGCATTACTTATAACCACTTTGAAATCTTCACCATCTAATGACAATGGTCAAGAACGAGAAAGAAAAAAAGTTAACCCATAAAAATTGATTAACCATAATTGTCTAAATTGTGGTGATAATTGTAGGGTTTGAGACACTTTTACCTCCTCATGGTCAACGTTTGGGTGGGATACAATTATCCAACAAGAGTGGACACAACCAACTACAAGATAGACACTCAAGTCCACACCCAATATTTACGTTAATCAACATCACTTTAATTAACAAAGCTAAGAAATTAATCATTAGTTGATGATCATTTCAGGTTAATTTGTATTACCACCCAAATCCAATGAATGAAACTTTCATACAAATCTGTTAATTATTAGCTTTATCTAAATATCAATGATTTTAACTATTAACTAATGGAGACAATTAAATGCAACAATATTATTAGTAATCAGCTTAACAATTTATTCAATCAGGAAAATTAACTCAAAGGTTAGTATTATTTGTGTGTATGTGTGTTTGTATTTAGTATTCAGATTTTGTCCTTTTCTTAATCATCTTAATCTCTTTGAACACATTAAATTGTATGCACAATTTAACTAATTGCACTTCATGCATTCACCATTCATGTTAATCCACATTTTAACTGAACTTTTTTTCCCTTCATCATGAAATTTTCTTATTCCCTTGTATTTATATAAACATACCCTTGGTTTTTCAATCTTAAGTTGATGATACACTTTCAGTCTCTTTCCAGTTTACTGAGCATCATTTTTTTCCCTTTCCACTGGAACATCATGAGCATCAGATTGAGTGAATCTTACACCCTGTAATTGGAATAACACCTTGGAATTTTTTCTCTCCCTCTCTCTTTCAATTCTTGGGGAATAAAAAAGATTCCATGGTTATCTCAGCAGGGAGACTTGAGATAGTTCAGAATTTCAAATGAGAAAAACAAGTTTACCTCATATTTTCCTTTCTCTTTTTTTTCATGAATTCTACTCAATTTCCTACCAATATCATCATGGTACTATTCACCAACCCAGAGAGATAAAAAAATTGAGCAATGTTTGATGATTCTTCCATAAGATTCATGTTATCTCTCATTAGTAAATCAATCAGAATCCAAGAATAAAAATTTGAATTCATATTGAATATGAAATCATCATGTTCTTATTGATTATGATTAATGAGAAATTATCGTTGTGGTGAAAACAAACTTCAATCTTTGTAATATATGAGATGATGGGAAACAACTGATAGAGATACAGATGATAATGATGGTGATAATAAGCATGATAATCATGACGATGAATCTGAAATGAAACGAATTTTTTTTGTCATGATAATTGAAGCTTCAAATGTTTCACAAATTTTAATGTTTACCTTGTAGGAAAAAAAACAAAAACCCTAATAAAATATCATTGAAATGATAATATAACCACCATGATCCACTTTCTCTCACCCACCATACTGAATCTTTAGCACTATTAATACATTATTATATATTCAGCATTCTGGTGATGATTATTATCTTCATGATAACGGTTGAAACTTCATTTCAATGTATATATTAAATGATGTGGGAAAGGATGAGGAAGAAGAGGAAGATAAGAGAGGTGGGAAAAAAATCTCTCACTCAACTTTCTCCCTGTTACACATCATCTTCTTCTTATTTTCTCTCATCTTCTCCTTTTATTCATCTTCTTGTTGAGAATAATTTACATAATTTGAATTTAAATTGTTCCTCTAACAGATTTGATTCCCTTTGAATAATAACAATAGTTTTACGCTTTTTTCTTCATTCAAACTGTTCACTCCAAGATCATTTCACCTTCTATTATCATTCTCTCTCTCTCTCTCTCTCTCTCTCTCTCTCTCTTACTCACTTACTCACACTCATTCTACTGCTTGAATTTCATGATGAATTCAGAAGATAGAACATTTGAATTTTTTCTAAACTTTTTTCTCCAAAAACAACGAAGTTGAACATTTACAAAATGAAGATCAGGATAGAATCTTTATCACTCAAATTTCTAATACTAAGAATATTGCATAATAACTGAAAAAGAATAGAATAATTTCTTATGCTCTCTCTCTTTCTTTCTTTCTTCTCATGGTAGCATTATGAACGTCTGAAATGGAAATTATAGAACTCTCATAGTTCTCTCTCTTTCTTCTCTCTTCTTACATGGTAGGATGATCATTATGACATATTAAACATTGAAATGAACTGATGAGAGAATTAAATGAAAATCAGTCAATCAATCATTTTTCTTCTCTACAGTCGAAAAGAATTTCGAAACTGAAGAATCTTGTATCATTCATACATCTTCAAATCATGAAATCTTTCATTGAGTCAATGACAATTCATGGTGAAGAATCATCGATAGATCTATGAAATGAAATCAGATAAAGACTGAATTGTCTCATTGTATTACTAGTCAGAGTCTGAATAGTAAGTTATCAGTTATGATTGCATTATCAAATCAATTAAATATCATGTATTACAATTCGATTGATCAAAATGATCATCCTAATAATAAAATTTATTCCATGAGAGCTGTAGATAACTAGATGAAGACTAATGAACTCATTGTCTCCAAATTATCAGCATTATTATCACTCCAAGTATCATGATCATTAGTATCCATAAGCATCTTGGTTATATTCAATTAAAATGAGTTGACTAATTTGAAAAAAAACAATTGAAATGAAATTACTTCTGATTAGTAAGCAATTTAGAATCCATTAGTAGGTTCATAGTGAGATAATAAAAAACTGAGCTTACACTGAAAATCCCTGAACACATGATACAAAGAGAGAGAGAGAGAGAGAGAGAGAGAGAGAGAGAGAGAGAGAGAAGGGGAAGAAAGTGAAAAGGAAGATGAGTTTCCGTGTTTGGAACTTTTTTTTTCATTCTTTTCTAATTTTTGGTAACAATTCAGTTCCTTTGGAGAGAGATAGAGAAAAAAATTCAATTGTTACTTGATTCAATTTCCAATGAAATTAAATTGAGTGTTGATTGTTGTTCATGTATTTCTTTCATGAGACAAACAGTAGAAGGTGAAAAAAAATTTCACTTCCTATTTCATTGTGTATTTTAAGCTGATAAACAATCAAGGTGACGAAAAAAAAAATTATATCAGACCAATGAACAAAATCTGATTAATCAACAATCAAGTAAATTGCAAACAAATTACCATGTTAATCTGTTGACAACATCACGAAATATCATTGGATAACAATGGGTAATGAGTTATTATTGAATAGATAAAAATATCTGATTCTGAATTAACCTTTTATCATGACATTTCAATTTAAAATCCATGGTGGTAACAAATAGCATCATGATAAACTTGCTGAGTTAATCATTTTCAATTGTTTCAATCTGACATGAGCCACAAAAAAAGTTCATTGTTCAACTAATATTATTGTTCAGCTCATTTCTCATTGGGAAAATAAAATTAACCAGGAAAAAAAAGTTGATTAATTAATATTTACTTTCGTACTCATAATTTTAGCTTGATTAAGCTTCTGTTTCCTTAATTTTTAACATGATTAACATGATAATCATTAACTAATGGACTTTATTAATCAACACTAAATTAAATTAATGATAATAATCATGATAGGAAAAATGAGAATTACTAATATTATTAATACTTTTATAGCAAAAAAAAAGTGTTTCAAATTTAATCAAATTTCACCCAATAACCATGATATTTATTCAGTCACCAGAACTTTTCTTAATCAATATTCATGATCATTTTATTTATTTATCTTTTCCCATAAATGTTGAGTCTCATGATTATCGGTAATTATATCAATCAATTATTGAAACGTTAATGAATCAAATTTCATGAGGATTTTCAGAGTCAATTTCAAGAGTGAAGTTCATTCATTTGAGATGAATTAATCTCAACAATTTTATCAAAATCTACTGAGGGGTTAATTGATATTTCTGTTTGGTTAGAATCTCTGAAAGAATCAGGAATTGGAATTGGAATTGGAATAACCTCAATTTAATCTAATAGGTTTGGTCATTTCTTGTTGGCTCCAATTGGAATTAAATTAAATGGTCAACAAGGTGTAGATAAAGTTCAATCAGTTAATCAAACAATATGAACACAAATTGTTTGCTATTAGAAATAATGATTCCTGATTTATTATGGAAACATTTTTCATCATTAGAAAATTACAATCATCATCATCAACAATCAACTTAATCATCGTTACATCTGAAACTTGGTCTCTACAATGATAAGGTATTGGTAATTCAATGAAAAGATTTCATGAAGATTCATTTCCTTTCATATAAAAATTCAATGGGAGTGACTTAGATACAATTTATTATCGGTCAGTTTCATAATTATGATGATAAAAGCTAAATGCTGATTAGATAAATTGGTGAATTTGATGGTGAAAAAATAGTGTGATAACCTTAATTTAGTTAATATTTGTAAGAATGAGTTAGAAATGAAATTTTTCTTTCAATGTGAATGAAAATAGTGGATTTATATATTGGATAGAAATGAGTATCATGAATTTCAGGGTGGAAAATGATAATGATAACCAATCAGAGTGTAAACCAGGAAAAAGTGAAAACAATCTTATGATGATACAGTTGCTGGTATTTGGATACAATGATAATGATATCCGGTTGAGGAAAAGTAGATAGAAATCAAGTATGAAAAAGGTTGAAAGAGAACTGGGAATCACCATGGGAAAAGAGTTGGAGTGACAATGATGATTATGGTGAGAAAAGAAGATGAAGAAGATGATGATCATCATCATCATCATGATCATCATGGAGGAAGTAACCAAGGGATAAGGGGAAGAGAAGAAAAAACATTTGCAAGAAGTGGGAGGACGATGAGAGAGAGAGAGAGAGAGAGAGATGAAGGATGAACAGGATAACTGAACATTCAAGTTTCACCCATTTGAGAGTATTGAATAAAAATCACATCATAAGGTAACATGAATATGAAGATGGAAATTCATAAATTGTTGTGAAATAGTATCAACTCAGTTTAAATGGGTACAGGATGAAAATCATCATCAAGAAACATAATGATCATCCCACGAAAATGAAATGAAAGTTATCATGAAGAGAGTGAAATGAACTTTTTTTCATAGAGTAAAAAAAATCTGCTTTTCCTTCATCTTTCATGATACATTACATGATAATAATTGTGAATATTTTCCTTTCATGATTAATCATTAGTCCTTAAGTAAAACGAATGAGATTAAGAAAGAGAGCGAGTGAGTAATATATTCAAAGAAGTGGCTGGTTGAAGTAAAAAGAGGTAAAAGTGTATCGAGAAGAGGAATTGATGATAATAATCAACTAATTAGCTTTAATTACCGGTTGATTTTTTCCAACGGATAATCGGTCTTGGAGATCCATCAGCTTGACAATCCAATGTTAAGGAATTACCTTTGATCACAGATTTATCTTTAGGTTCAACAATCCAACTTGGAGGCACTGAGGAGGTTTCGGTGTGTTGATGTGTTAGAGTAAGAGAGTGGATAAAAGAAAGAGAGAGAGAAGATAAAGAAGATAAGGTTAAAGAATTAAGATGATTATGTTTGTTGTGTAACGAATGTTGTTTATATTTTCCTTGTTTTTACTTTCGATTCTCTTCCCATTATAAAAGAGGCTTAATTAGCGAATTAATCCTTTTAGAATGCTCAAGACAAGACTCATTAGATTCTGACAAATCTTCTCATGAGAGATAATCGTTTTCAGGTTGTCTTGTTATTCTGGAAACTTTTTCACTCCCACTGATCTTTATGCTTTTTTCCTTCCCAGATTTTCCCATGTTAATCACACACACACAGAGAGAGAGAGAGACAGAGTAAAAACCTTTTCCAATGTTCAACAATTAAAACATTTAATCAACTGAGAATCAAAAGTAATCATTTGATATTTTTACCTCTTCCACTCTCATGTTACTCATTATTTACAACTTGTTGTTGAGTAAAATTAGATTGTTAAACTGTAGCAACGATAATGATGATAATTAAGCATCAAAGTTTCAATTTAATTAACTCAGTTAATACATTTTAAACCATATTAATTGTCAACGTAAGTGGTTAATTAATTGCAAAACTATTCAAAACATTGTTATCACATTAAAGTGTTTGCATCAATTGATTGTTTACTCTTTTCTTTTTTTTTGTATATTAATCACTTGATGAATTTCAATCAAATCATATTGAGAATCAGTTAGTAACAGTTAATTAAAGTTATTAATCGACTTTTGTTTGATTCTATCATTCATTTGATTCAGTTCTGAATTGTTGATTATCCTTAAGCTGATAATGAAACAAAGTAAATATCGATAATGATATTGATGAGAGAGGAGTAAAAGTTGAAGATGAAATCTTCCTATTTATGGGTCAGTATTGGTCAGTTTGAGAGATTTACTTTACTTCAACTGTGCGAGTAAACTAAACCTCGAATTATTAATAGAATCATCAGAATTTATATATCAGAACTTTTGCCTGTTTCAGGGAATCATGATGATGCTTCCTACTTACAGATCATTATGATACCAAACATGGAAAAGTTTCAAGATTTTTATCACCATCAACTTCAACATAATCATCAACATCATCATCATCATGATCAACTTAACAATAACAGATGATCAAGATGAAGATAGAGGAATCTTGATTTTCAATGAAAAGATGTTTCTAAGTTTCTATTGTTAATCTTTCCAAAAGGTATTCACTATATATATATTATTCTGTATATATAATACATCAAGAATAATCATCATCATCATCATTGTGAGGATGATGATGGGTCAGTAAGAAGAAAATGACAATAATGATAAAAGAAGCATGAACATGATGATGAGAGAAAATGAGAATAATGTTTCCATCAATTCGACTCAAATAATTGCACTAGAATTCTGATTAGGATGAAGTAAAAGGGGTAACATGGTTAAGATGAAGATAAGAATCAAGTGTATTGGTGAAATTGGCAATTCAGGCTCATCATCTTTCGGCTAAAAGGTCCAAGGAAAGTTGAAGCTCATTATGATGGATTTACTCGGGATTACTGAATAATTCCCAGTAACATAAGCCTAATCTGTTTAAAAAGCTGAAGACAAAAAAGCAGAGAGAGAGAGAGAGAATCATGAAGATGAGGATGAGGATGATACAGAGGAAAATAAGATTGATAAAGTTATCATATTGGATGATGAAGATGTTTGTTTGTTAATGATTGAAGATTAACTTTCATGATTGAATAAAAATATTGACATTTTTTATCCTAAACATGAGCCGTTCATCATTTTCGTTAGATGATAAATTAATTTCAAAAATCATCTCAATCAATAGATTTACAGTTATTTGGAAGCTGAAAAAATTAATATCAACTAATTGTTAATGTTTCTCAACGATGTTAAAGGTAAGATAAGCTATTAAAGTTACAAGGGTAAATATTATTTGGTAAATATAATGAGAGTTGAATTCACCTTCATGTTTATCCTGGATGAGATGATAAACTGAGAGAAAGACAATAAATTATTAAGATGAGGAGGGTAAATAGGAAATGAAGGAAAAATGTTAAGTGATTTAAATGACCATGTTGATGAAAATGATGATGAAGAAAAGGTAAATGTATTCTATGTGATATTTGTATATTTGCAACCAAAGAATAGGAAATATGATGATAGAGAGATGAAGATGAGAGATATAAAAAGTATATTTACCTTGGACATTGACACACACAATAGACAATCAATGAGATATACTATTGATATATATGTGTGTGTATGTATGTTAATGATAACTATCATGTTAGAACTTTTTCCTCCTCGAACTTGTATCTCTTTCTTTTCCACATCATATCAAACCAAATATTGATAAATGATTAAATAAACTGTAACCAGTTACATTATCATCTAAATGATAAACATTATCGACACCAATAGTTATTTTTATATTTCTTTACCTTCTTCATATTGTTAAAAGTTGCGAATCTTTTTTCAATGGGAAACTTTTTCACCATCAATTCTGTAAAGTTATCATCCTCATCATCACCATATTAATGTTATTACATATGATAATAATCTGAAAAATCATTTGCTTCTTATAGCAATTTTTTTTTTCTCGTTTGCTTTGATAACTATTCTGATTCATAATGATTATCATGATGATGATGATGATGATGATGATGACGATGATCTTGCCTTTTTCCCTGTTCAACCAAATAATAATATTTGGTCCAAGTAATTTAATTATAACCAACATGAAGATGAGGAAGCAGAAAAAAAAGTGTATCATCATTATAACTTATAAATGATATTTTGTTTGAGTGAAGAAGATGAAGCAAGAAAAAAAAAGAGGAGAATTAGCATCAATGTGAAGGGATGAGGAAGATGGAAGATGATGATAATGGTAAACAGTGGAGAAGTGAAATTTAGTCTGAAGATGATAATGATGATCAAAATAGTTGCATCAATGATATGCCTAAATAGCAATAAGATGTAACAAGATGACCTCAACAATGTTCAACATTTATCCTAATTTGAGTGAAATAATATTATGACCAATTATCAGAACTTATCTTCCTCCTCTTTTATACACCACCACCACCACCACACCCTCTTGCCCACCTCTTAATTTCCTCTTTCTTTCTCTCTTACTTTTTATATTTTCTACACTACATAAACCATCAAATGTGTAAACATAAGAGTGATGATGGTAAAGAATTTAATTTCCTACTCTGTCTCTCATTCTCCATCTCTCTATCTCTCTCTTTCTCTCTTTCTTATTTTACTGAATTCTATCCGAGAATCATGGAACGGAGTAAACCATGAAATCTTTTTCTGATATCATGAGACAGTTTACTCAACTTTTTACTCGTCTTTCAGATTAACCTTACTCTTGGTTAAGAGGTTATGTTACAGAATTGATTCGGTATTTAATAGAAACAATAATTTCCATCATGATAACTTCTCATTCTCATCCTCATCATCTCACATTATATATTTTCTTGCCTTTTCTCCTTATCATCTTATATTGTATCTAATTCCCATGAGATGGGTTGATTTTTCACACTTTTGGGTAACATAAGCTCATACAAGTTGCAAGATACAATTACCGTTACTTCATCTTTATGATAACCACCTCAACTCTCTCTCTCTCATCATATTTCTCTTATTCTTATTATTACTTTTTATTACTGGAATTACACGTTCCCATGGAGCCATATGATATAAGAAATCATCGATATATATCATGTTATCACATTCTCTTCGTCATATCCTCTATCTTTCTCTACCAACTTTCTAATACATCGTCACTGATCAAGAGAATCGCAATGATTTCTACCATCAGAGTTAAAATTGAGGAAACGAACAAGAAAGTTAGATAATATCAACAATTATCGACATCATTAGAACTAAATTATTGTTTCAACTTCACTTTTCCTTCATGGAATTTTAATCTTTTTCATTCTGTAATAAAAGAGATAATCTCTCTCTAAATGATTTTTACTTTCTTTATCTTCATCTTTCTTTCCTGATTCTTGCTTCGAACTCCCCATTAACGGTAACCCACTGCGGTACCTGGAAATATCACTCGAAGTAACTTTCACCTCATTATTATGAGAACGTAGAAATTATTGTCAAGATAATGTCAAGCTATGAAGGCATCGCATGAATTTCGAGATGAACAATAGAGATGAGAAGCTAATAAGGTGAAATATATAAAATCTGAAGAGAAATCAAGGTGAAAAAACAAACGGAAAATTAATAAAAAAAGAAAAAAAAATGAAATTCAAAGTTGAGGAAAAAGTTCTGAAAATAGAACCAACAAAATCATCTGAATACAACAGATAAAAAAAGGTAAATGTAATAAAATGAAGATGAAATGTTTCAAGTTGATATATAAAACTATTCGAGTATGAGAGAGCATCATGATGAAAACAATAAAGTCTTCACTTGGAATTCACATGAAATATTATTTCAACAGATTTGTGATGAAATTGTGAGATGAACAGTTTTCAGCAATATGATTCATTCTGAGACTGAATTTGATGTAAACTCTTCATCATTTTGATCAAAATGGTGACGGGAGAGAGAGAGAGATAGAGAGATGAAAAAGAAGACGAAATACTCAGAATTCAGATGGGGAATGACAATCTTTTAGAAATTAAATCTTTTTCTCTCTTTTACTTGTAAGGTTTTTGAAGAAAAAATGATCATCACCATTATCATGATGAAAAGTATGGAATGGTTAACATGAGAGAAAGAAAAAGTTCTGATAAGTGTTGAGCTTTATGGGGAAAGAAAGTTGAATCTTTTTCTATTTCAGAACTTTGATTCGGATAAAGTTTATATCTATCATGAGAACTGCAACTCAAACATATCGATTGATATTGGAACAATTTCATTTCGAACAAAATTTCAAACTTTTCACCAAGAGAGTCAATTTCACTAAATATATCAAGTAGTCTCTCTCTCTTCTTAGTTTTTTCTAGATGAGATGAGCTTTCCTTCAATGAACTTGTCATGAAAAAGATAACTAGTTGGTGAGATAATCTTTCTGATATCTTTAAACTACTTATGAGAAATGATAACTCATTGGATTATCTCGATATCTTTTTCTGTTTTATCAAAAGTAATCAACAAATTGTTAACTCGAAGATTAAAAATTCAAAAGAGGATAAGTAATAATCTCATTGAAAAAGATTATTCTGAGAATCTATTTTTCCATTTCATGATATTATCATGAAGTTTTTTCTACTCCTTCAATCAAATTCTCCCTTCTCAAAATTTTATCCTTTGCACTGTCTTTTCAATTCTCGGCTCATGGTGAACCTCATGAATGTCATATTATCCAAGGCATCAAGCGTATCAAATTATGTTGACGTTATATCAATAGAAGGGGATAGAGAGAGAGAGAGAGAGAGAGAGATAATAAAGTTAAACAATGAAACTTTAAACAATTTCATGGAGAAGATTGAATTTTTTTCTCATGAAATTGAGAAAATTTCAGGAGAATAATATTCCGGTTCCAATGAGCCGAGACATTTTTCTTTTCACTGGCCAGAATAATTTTCTTTATTCTCAAATACTAACTACATACATATTCAACCGTTGAATTTGTTACAACTTAATTCATCTATTCGATGGGTTATCGTGAATTTCATGGTGAATAAATCACAACCAGAGTATTTCCTTATTTACTTTCAATGGATAAAATTATATTCTACATACCAATATACCGGGATAGAGAATCGAAAATCATGGAAAATCGAAGATGAATCGAGATCTAATTGTTTCGCTTACCTTGAACAATTAATGATGTGGTATAATTAGATGTTGATGCTGGATTCTCAGCAAGGCAAGTGTAATTACCTCTGTGAGCTCGTGAAACTTTATCAAATGTAAGAAATGAGGTAAAATCTTTAGTGTCCACCATGGGCATCAATTCATCGGGAATCGATTGTCCATCTTTAAGCCATTTAATGCGAATCGGAAGATCCCCAGCGGAGACGATACAAGCAGCACCAGCTCGTCGACCGGAGACCAGGTCATTTGGAAAATAGAAAGGTTCAACTACCGGGGAAACTGGAACAACAGAAAAAGAATCAAATAATGAAAAGTTTTCTAATATCTGGGAAAGAAAAGTTCATTTTTCATGAAACATGAAAAATTAGAAAGCCAAAGTTTCAATGATACTATTGAATAATCACATTCTTTTGTGGCTTATCATCAATTCCTACAGGTGATTAATTATATTCTTAGCGTATTCGTTTCCAAGGTGAATGAAATTAATTTTTTCTTCTCCTCAGAACAAATGAATTCACCAAGAGTATATGAATTATCATTCTAAGTGACTGAATAAGTGAATATGAATGTTATCATTTTCTTATTTTCAAGGTAAATCTTTCAAGTGAGCGATAAAGTACATATATGTAGCATACACTTTAGATCTTGAGTTGGAATAAATAAATTTTCACTTGACTTTGTATCTGATTATATGTTTTCACTACTCAGAGTAACGAGAAACAGGATAAAAAAGATGATGAAGAAACAGAAAGGAGAAGATGTAACATGGAAAATGTGCTGATAATGCTCATGGAGAGAAAAAGAAAAGGATGATAAAAGAAGATGGATGTTTGTGAATGTGAAGTGATAGGAAGAAGATTTTTAAACGTAATTACCAACGACATTTACAAATAGATCTCGCTTAGCAGATCGACCCTCTTCATCTGAAACCAAACATTGATATTGAGCAGCATCAGCAGCTTTCTCCACATTATTTATCATGAAAGTTCCGTTGGTGAAAACCTTTTGACGATGATTCTGAGGCAAACGTCTTCCACCTTGGGTTTTATTGTTGTTCATTTTAATAGTTACAATGAGAGAGAGAGAGAGAAAAATATTTCCACCAAGTTCATTGGGATATTGGTAGAGAAGAAAAGTAATAATAATGAAAAAGGAAGAGGAAGAAAAAAGCACAAAGAATTAGAATGAGTGAAGATAATCGATTAGATGAAGAACATAAGGAAATTAGAGAGAAAGAGAGACGGAGGGAGAGGATGATAGAATAGGAATAATGGTCGTGATGAGGAAAATAAGAGAGAGAGAGAGAGAAACAACATGATGATGAACAAATCATCATCATGGTTCTCATCAGATATAAATTACGCTGTTTATTGTTCAATCTACAACTATTGGTGTTTAGCTTTTGTGCTAATGATAATAGTAATAATAATCAAAGATAATATATTTGCTTCTGTAACTGATGATGATGATGATTCTATGGATGATGATGAAAGCGGAAAAATGATAAAAATGAAAAGATTTCAACTTTATCCTGATCTTTATTCAACCTTAACGATTTATTTGTTTACATGGAATAGTATTTGAAGAGAATAGGTAACAAAATGAAGAGCATTTTTTTATCTACAGAATTTTGTTGGTCTTTTATTCTGTATTTTCATGATAATTCACAAGAATATAAATAAATAAATCAAATTAGAAAGAGAAAAATTTTGACAGATAGATCGAGATGGAAAATTGTCACTGAACATATCGAATGATCAGTTTTTTTTAGAACAGGAATAAGATCTGTGAGGTTTTATCAACTAAAAGTTCTAGAATTCTGATTCAGTTTCAATAGTGTTTCCATCTTGGTCTTATTCAGAATTTCTCTCTGCTTTTTTCTCCTCAAATTCTGATTAAATTGAACTCAACTTTCTTCATTTTTTTCCAAATGAATAAAATGACCTCATGCAAGGAAAAGAAATTAGCAAAAAAAAACTAAAAGGTTGAAACTTTTTCCATGAGACTTAAATTGAAACAATAAAATTCAGGGGAAGGAGATATTCAGAGTAGACTGGATAATGATCACATGTTGAATTAGTTTTTTAATGAGAGATAAAAATTTTGATGAAATTATATTTTTTTTGTTTTCTCATATTCCCTTTCTAATATTATTATTGTCATCAACTGTCAACATGATACTTTGTCTTTCAGTGGATTTCCATCCTCATCTCCCTTACTCTATCTCGTCTATGGCTCTTCATCATGATGAGATAAAGATTTAAAGATATTTTCATGAACAATGAACAAAAATGACAAGAATTAGTGAGACAGAAAATTTGATGACATTTTTTTTCTTCATCACTTATCATTGTTGTTGGCAGAATCCAATGAATTCTGAGTATCTTTACATTATACTCTATGAGAAGGTTTATTTTTCCTCTTCAATCATTTTCGCAACTTGTAATTAAGCACAGAAAATGATGAGAACCAAAAAACTGTAAGAAATTGAGAAGATAATGATGAAGATGATTTAGTAACAATGAAGGTGTGAAAAAGCTAAAGAGAAAACATATAAAGTCAATTGAACATCTCAACTGTTTATCGGCGATGAAATGATTTCCCTTTTCCTCCTTATTTTTTAAGTTCTAATAACAAGAAAATAAGATGATTGTTTTTGAGAAAATGAACATGATGAGAAACAGTAAACAAGGAATGGGAAAAGTGGATGAAAAGATGATAAAAGGAAAGAATAAGGGAGTTGATATCATGATGGAACATTATAAGGCTTTAAATGTTGTTGCTTCGATTTTTTTACTTGACTTGGTGAAGAAGTGATTCAACTCAAGAGTAAAAATGAGCATCGAGCAAGAAAGAATTTTGTTTGTCCAATTTCTCAGAACTTTTTTTTCGTCTTTCGAATTTCATTTCTCTGTATTTTTATCTTCTTCTTCTTCTTATGCTTCCTTTCATTCACAATATTCATTCTCAGTTCCATGATAACTTTCGGCAACTGTAAATTTGACGAAACTTTCATTTCCCTTCTTTCTTTATGGTCAACAAAAAATTCAAGTACATGAAGAGGGAGGAAGATGAAGATGATGATGAGATGAAGAGGTAAAGATAACATTTTCAAGTATTTAATGAGAAGAAAGAGGAAAAAAAGTATATCAGAAATTCAATTGCTATTCCAGTCTATTTAACCTCATCTTCCATTGTCATCATTCACATTTATCGTTGTTATAACGTCTCAGTGTATCTCTTCAATCAAATCTAGTTAACATTTTAAATCTTTCACCATTAGATATCATCTCACTCACCCATCACTCTTATAAATCATCATCTTCATCATCTGTATCTAAGGCTATTTCCTTTTCCTCTTTCAATCTCATAACTTTCATCTCACAATCATTTCATCACTTATTATTACTACTACTTTATCATTATCATCAGAATTCTCATCAGCTGATTGATATATTGTATTCTGATTTATGTATGTATTGAAACTCAATTTGATTTTCTCTTCTCCATTTTTTTTTCCAATACAAAAATTGATTGCAAACTTTTTCTTTATCATTTATACATGTATTACATGGTATTCATATGAAAGTTTCAACAGAATTTTCATTCTGAAAAAGATACTCTCATTTTCTGTCTCTTTCTCTTTCGCTCTCTCCACAAAGTAAACATGATGAATACAAACTGATGGTTTACCTGTTCATCTGAATGATTTAATAGATTAGAAATAAACTATTGTTATTACATCAGAATTGATACAATTGAACATTCTTGTTTCTCATTCCTAAATCTCATAATGTTCATTTTATTGGATCTCATTATAATTCTTACAATCAAATACAATATTCAGAATGCTATTCAATAGAAAGACAATCAATATAAATGTATCCAGAAAAGTTCAATATTACATTTAGATAATAAATAATTTCCACTTTTTTCTAACATGATAAATTCATTGATAAACTCTAAGACCTAAGGTATGCACATCATGGGACAACTGAGTCTCAATGAACTTTATATATATTAATACATAAATTTAATATTCTGAAAAATTGGAAATCAAACAGTTAACAGAAAAAAGGGTTAACTTATGGCTGGAAGATTCATGATCTACATGGTAAATAACAATGATTATTGAATCAACTGTAAACATAGAATCTGAATAAATGTGACTGAACAAATAATCTTATTGAATTTTGAACTTATCAAGTAAGAAAAAGGTTAACGATTGAATGAGAATCGTTATTGATTATTGAGGGAAAAGTTCAATTGAACAATATGATTATTTACCATTTTACAGGGTGTAAATATTACAGAACTTTCTTAACATTATTAAGAATCAATCAGATTTTTAGATTGTATTGTTACTATTAATATGTTCAGAATTTCATGATAAAAGAGTCAGAAAATTGTTTTCTTTTAATACTAGTATTCCGATAATTCAACAAGTGATTAAGATTAGTCATTTAAATAATGAATATGTGCCATTGAAAATGCTTATGTGTTTGTATTTAAATATTAAACAAAGATTGTCTCAACAATTGGTTATAGTTTCATGGTAATTATTATCATGTGAAAGTGAAATATTGCTAAAAAAATAACTGTTAAACTGCTGGATTATTAGTTGTATTTAGTTTGATGACATTTGCTATTTTTTTCCTTGGTGTTTCACCTGAATTTTTAATCAACTTGAATAGTTGAACATCAAAAATTCTGATGAATACTTCAAGTCTTTTAATAGACCAGGTATGAAAGTAAAAGAAACAATGAAAATCAACATATTCAGTAGCATCATCACGGTCTCATTATTATCACTTTAATTATCATACTATTTGCTATTCAAGGGGATTTTGAGTAAGAAGGTAACATCATATGCATGATAATCATTAATGAAAGTGAAATAGAATCATGATTGTGGTTAAAATTAAGCAGAGAGAGAGAGAGAGAGAGAGAGAGAGAGAGATGAGGATGAGAGAATGGAAATTGTTTAACCGAGAATGAAAATTGAAAATGTAACTGAGAACAAAAGAATAAGACACAAAAGAAAACAAATTGATGAAGAAAGAATCTGAAGAAGCTAAAAAACAAAAGAGAAAAGATTTTCATATCATGAAATAGAATAGAAAAAAAAGAACTAGAATAAAAAATGCAACTAAATTTAGGTTAAAATAGTAGAACAAGGAATTACGTTGGAAATACTCATATTCAGAATAGAATAGTGAGAAAGTGAGTGGAAGAGAGAGAAAGTTTCTCATTCCCTGCATAGTTATTTTCAGAATTCACTCCACCCTGTACCCTGATCTCTCAACTCTCCCTGTTATTTATATGCAACATTAGATGACAACAATGGATTGATTTGAGCTCAAAAACTTTTCTTTTCTTTTGATATTGTTTCAGGAATTGTATCATTATTTTCCCCATATCTCTCTCTCTTCAATTCATCCTGAGAATCAAGAATCAAGCGTATGCATAAAAAACTGTTAGAAAAACTTTCAAATTCAAACAAGAAAACAATTGCAGTTAAATCAAGCTGCAATTCAATCAACATTTTCGTTTTTTCCAATCATCATGGAAATGAAAATACAAAAAAAACCTTTCATCTAATGATGATTCAGATAACATTTATCGAAATAAGATTGAGGTTGATATCATGTTTAAAAATTGACTGCATGGTGAAGTTGAGGGTAAATCAGAAAAAGATTCATTTGTTGCAGAAATCAAATTTGTTATCCAAAAGTTAAATTCTGAATGGCTAAAGTCTCAATTAGTAATTGCTAATCAATGATTCATGATGATCATTACTATTGTGATCTGATTAGTTTCAATGAAACTTTTGACCTTTAATCGCATGTCCATTTTGTTACTTTGATTTCCAATGAATATTGATTAGGTATCAATATAATTTATTGATTCTCATTTATAATCATTTATGTATGATAGTTATTGGGATAAAATTGATTGTAAATGTTTAATCACTTAACTGTTGAATTTATGCCCAAATCAATTAGGAGGTTTATCTTAATTACTAGAAGCAACAATCAAATTTCAGTTTGTTTATCGATTTGATTGGTATTGAAATGGAGGAGAAATTTTAATTTCTATTTGATATTGGCAACAATTAAGAGATTAAACTTTCAGGTGAGTAAACTGAATCAGATTTGATTGGTTAGTATGAGAAAATATTTGAAAAGTTATGATCAAGGGGAAATTGAGGTCAAACATTTGGGAAATTTAATTTTCAATTGATTGATGAATCAAATTAATGACGCTAATGGACCTTGGTTGATGTGGAAAATATCAATTCAAATATTGTAAATTGATGCGAACTGGACAATGTCTGGACTCAATGTTTCCAATTTCAAAAGTATAATTCAAATGATTCATGATATTTGATATTTGATAAGAATTAAAGTTTTATGTGGGTCAGCATTTTAACTGTAAATATTTGGTTGTAAAGTAAAATGTAAACATTAATGAGTGAAAGTATTGAACATGATAAAATGTTCAGATAATTTCTATCACATCTTGTTTGATTATTCGAGTTGATCAACGTTCATTATCGTTTCACTTTTACTCTTAATTTATCCTTTTCTATTATATTCAAACTTTTATTCTATTGGGACACTAATTATCTTATTCATCTTTCTCATTTGCTAACTTTTTTTCTGCATCACTTTCTTCATCTTCATCTTCATCTTCTTTGTCTTCGTCATCTTTTTCATACTAAACTCCATACACCTCATCTTTATCTTCATCATTTTCATCTCCATTCTAATCAACATCATCTTCAGCATCTTCATCCATGTAATTTGTCAATTGTATCAACATAAATAAAATGTAAATACTATTATTATTCAATTGGTTTATCATTGATGATGTTGCACTTTCTTTATAATATTACTCGTTCTATTACTATTACTATTACTATCGATACTAATTCTGATTCTTATTCTAATAACTTTTATCCTTTTTCTATCACTTGAATGACCTTTGAGTGACCACAAATGATTATTCTGATCATTTTAATTTAATCCATTCGATCATTTGATCATTCATTTCATTTATTCACTTATCTTATCATCTTCTCTCTTCAACATAAGGATAAATCATGAATCTATTAATTGGTCTATTATCTTTCAATAAGCAAGAATAAGATGATGATGATGATGATGATGATGAATCTAAGGTGAATGAAGATAATCTAAGTATCACAAAGAAAGAAAGAAAAAGTCAAATGAATCTGGGAGAGATAAATAGTGAATGAGAATTAGGATGAGGATGAGAAGAAGAAAAATCAAAAAAGAAAAAAGTTGAAATTCTAATTGTAATTGTAATTCTATTAATAGTTAAAGTTGTAATGTTATATTATTTTCCATTGTCATTAATAGTCTTGGTTAAAGTCAATTAACGTCTTGGGGAACATTTATCCTCATTTAAACATTGAAACATAATCATAATAACTCTAATAATCAAATTCAATTGTAACCAATAGAACAGTTCTTTCTAATAAATAAACACACGAATCTCAATGGATTAATTCAAGTTATTCATAGGTTTTACATGAGGTTAGCTGAAAAGTAATTCATATTTTTCTGAATAAATGGTTCTCTCTTCTTGTTATTTACACTTGATATCCATAAAACTAATTATTCAAAAGTTTCAAATCTCCCAATTCAAATAAGATCATCATAATAATCACGCCGGTAAAACAGATTCAAAATAGATGAATACAAAAATTGAACTCATGATAACATGATGTATATTCAGTTGATCAAAAGATGATTATGATAATCAACTCAACAGCAACAACAACAACTGAATAATCAGAATTCATGAAGAAAGGCAAAAACAAAATGATACATTTACTATTATATGAGTTATCTACAAACTCCCATGAGTTTATTCCCATAGGGTGGATCTTCAAGTTTCCATTTTTTTCTCTCTCTCTCTCCTTTAGTTAATAGTTTTAGCTCGTGTTTGATAGACATGATAAATTTAGTTCTAATAATGAATTAGGTGATAGAATGAAGAAAAAAAGTTTTCTCTCTTAAATTCAACTGAACAAATGAACTTTTTGATTATTCACCAATGTAATAACATTAATCATAACGATAATGATGTAATAATAATAATCAACATTAGTGATTGCCGAAGGTGAGAAGTGGAAATTTGCGTGACAAGTAACATATCATGTGGAAGTCAAGATTACACACCCAATCAAAGAGTTAGATGAGTTTTGTGTGTAATATTTTCATTCCAAATGATGATTATCATGATGGAAGAGAGAGAAGGAGAAAAAAGAAAAAATTTCTTTTTTTTTCTCCATGCTTACGGTGGACATTTACTTGTATATGAGTATATTTGTTTTGTCCATTGTATTGACAACTAATTTGATTTAATGTCTCTTATGTTATCTATGGGTAAGGTGATTATAGAGATTGAATCAAGAGTGTGAATCAGGGTGGGAAATGGATTTGGGTGGATAGTTGATGATAATAAATATTATATAATAATATATATATGATATTAGTATATGTATCTATTGGTTATCGGTGATCACTTACCTCTTAACCATGTAACCGATTTAATTGGATAACCAGAATAAGGACAAGTTATTTGAATATTTTGAGCTGAAAGGACAGTTAAATTAACCATTGGTCTAATATAAGGTGGCCCAAGGACGTTAATACGAGCAGTGTGTTGAATGGCACCAGCGGTGTTACTTGCTCTACATGAATAGTAGCCACCATCATCGGTTTTCGTTGAACTTATATTAACATAACTGTTTACGGTGTAAATATCACTAACATAATCACCGATTCTTACATGATATGCCTCGTTTATTGGTAAATTATCAAGTTTCCATGTAATCTGTGGAAGTGGGTTTCCTTTAGCTGAGCATTTCAACGATAAACGAATACCTCTTTCAACGATCTGCTCGGAAAAGGTTCCAACGAAAATTGGACTTTGTTTAATTTCTGTTGCAAGTTGACACCATTAAAATCGAAGAGAAAATAATTAGTTCATATTCTTGAATAATATTGGTAGAGTTCATTAATCATATACAACGATTATTTCAATTCTCTATCATTGAGTTTCGTCTCATCTTCGCATTTGCGATTCTATTTTTTTTCTTGTGAATTTCTATCAAACTTCAAGTGTTTTTTTTCATTCTTTCGAAAAGTTCTGATAATCATTTAGAAAAAAACTGGAAAATATTCTGATTTTTACAATTTCTTTTCTGTATCATGGATAAAGAGAACTACATCAACATGAGTCTTTTTTTATAATTTCCATTTGATTTGAGTAAACTAATTGAAAAGAAACAATTTGAACAATTCATCTTTTTCCATGTTACATGAATTTATGATATTCGGTTGAAAATAAAAGGGAACGATAAGACTCCTTAAAAGAGTAAACTTGATCATGGATCAAAGAGAATCTGAAATGATAATAGTAGCTGAATACAATTGGAAAATAAGGAATTTTTCTAATGCTGAGTGAAAACAAAAAGTTGAGAGAAAATGAACAAATATTACAAGCAGGGGAGATTCAGAATTTTATATACGGTGATGAAAAAAGAAAACGAGATCGAACAAAACGAAACAAAGAGAGAGAGAGAGAGAGAGAGAGAGAGAGAAAAAGATGCTAAAGATGAAGATAATCAGACTGATGTGATGAAGAAAAAGGGATGTGGTGGGAGGATAAACACGATGATAAAGATGAGAAACTTGAAATAATATTGTTCAGGATTTTCCTTCCTTTCTAATGAAAGTGAAATAGAGAAAAAAAAGTTCAACCAGCAGGAGATATTCAGCTTCTTGCCTTTTTCAATTTTGAATTTTGGTGGAAAAACTTGCGAACTTTTCATTCTCTTCAACCATTCCCTCCTATCATCATCACCATCCTCATCTTCCTCAAGCTTATCATCAATCCATCTTCTTCATCCAAATGAAATGGATTTCACCATAAACTTGTATATGTTTTTTTTTCTTTCTCATTCTTTTGACTGATTTGCTTCTTGAGAGACTAAGAGATGATGATCCTCATCCTCATCATCACCACTATGTTGATGATGATGAAAAGAAAGAGAGATGTACAGATAGAATGCGAGAGAGAGAGAGAGAGAGATATAAGAGGATGAGCTTAGTTGATTCTATTCTTTCATCTTTCTTGAAGAAAATTTTTCTCTGTGTAAATTTCAAGATCTACTTTTAAATCCATCAACTAAACTGTGAATTGTTATTATTATATTTCTTCAAGGCAAAAGTAATTCAACTGATTGCTGGTAGAAACATTTAGATTAATAATAAAACACTATGAGTTTCATGGAGAGGGAAATGAAAAACATGATGATAATCATCATGGTGATGAGTAGAAGAGAAAGAAATTTCTTTTTTTTTCACCTTAATTCAAATTCTTTTTTAATAATATTCCAATTTTTTTTCTTCTCCTCTTGGGTTATATTTTCTTTTCAGTTACTCTCAGATTATCTTGGCTTTCTAAATGTTTATCATTATTATCAAAATGTTATCGGTAAACTAATCATGGTAAATATTATCACTCTCATGAGGATTATCTCAATTTTCTCAGGCTAAATATTATCCTTATTTGTTTTATTTTATTCAATTCTTTTTTTTCACTCTCATTTTCAATCAGGATATTATTAAGATAATATTAACGCTTTCAAGATTAGATAATGTCTTCACTGTTTATTTTATCATCATTTGGGTTTTTAATCTTGAGGGGAAGCGGAAATGATGAAGATGAAGATAAAGGTTATGGTAGAAAGTACCATGAAGAAGATAAATGATTAACTAACCAATTTTTTCAATTGAAGTTTTTTTTTCTCGATTCAAATGATAAAATGATTGACATTTTAATGTAATCAGACAATTTGTTATGTGGAAATCATTTGTTATAGTGATTAGAAAAATTTTATCTCAACAATTTGTTGCAATTTATTTTCTTAATCTAATAAAATTAATCTTGGATCTTTATCATGTAATCCTGTTATTTGATTATTCGAGTTGATCAACGTTCATTATCGTTTCACTTTTACTCTTAATTTATCCTTTTCTATTATATTCAAACTTTTATTCTATTGGGACACTAATTATCTTATTCATCTTTATCATTTACTAACTTTTTTTCTACATCACTTTCTTCATCTCCTGCATCTTCATCTTCTTTGTCTTCGGCATCTTTTTCATACTAAACTCCATACACCTCATCTTTATCTTCATCATTTTCATCTCCATTCTAATCAACATCATCTTCAGCATCTTCATCCATGTAATTTGTCAATTGCATCAACATAAATAAAATGTAAATACTATTATTATTCAATTGGTTTATCATTGATGATGTTGCACTTTCTTTATAATATTACTCGTTCTATTACTATTACTATTACTATCGATACTAATTCTGATTCTAATTCTAATAACTTTTATCCTTTTTCTATCACTTGAATGACCTTTGAGTGACCACAAATGATTATTCCGATCATTTTAATTTAATCCATTCGATCATTTGATCATTCATTTCATTTACTCACTTATCTTATCATCTTCTCTCTTCAACATAAGGATAAATCATGAATCTATTAATTGGTCTATTATCTTTCAATAAGCAAGAATAAGATGATGATGATGATGATGATGAATCTAAGGTGAATGAAGATAATCTAAGTATCACAAAGAAAGAAAGAAAAAAGTCAAATGAATCTGGGAGAGATAAATAGTGAATGAGAATTAGGATGAGGATGAGAAGAAGAAAAATCAAAAAAGAAAAAAGTTGAAATTGTAATTGTAATTCTAGTTCAAGTTGTAATGTTATATTATTTTCCATTGTCATTAATAGTCTTGGTTAAAGTCAATTAACGTCTTGGGGAACATTTATCCTCATTTAAACATTGAAACATAATCATAATAACCCTAATAATCAAATTCAATTGTAGCCAACACTCAGAAAATTAGACATGATTGATAAGCCTTCTAATCTCAGTGGATTAATGAAATAAATCGTATGTATATAAAGTTAATGAGTTGCGAATATTAATTTTAACCACTGGAAAAGTCAAAGAAAAAACAAACTCAAATCGGTTTCTTACCTGATGAACAATTTACCATGTAGATGAAAATATTTAATTGTAGCAAAAGTTGAAACATTAACAAAATCATATTAGTTTAATTGTTGTTCCACTAAACATAATCATGAATACGGAGGATTTACATAATTTACATGGGAACACTTAGAAAAGCAAAGTAAAGAGACTAATTGATTGTAAGTGAGAAGTTAATTGTGATCAATTCAATTTAGAAAATGATATTAACGTTTATCCTTTTGTAATATCCTTTTGACACTGATAACAATTGGTAATCACAATTAACATTGGATAAGAAAAAAGGTGACACTTATCATAATTTACGAAAAGAGAAAAAAATTTTCTGATTAGATTAACTGTAATTGATTGGGATTATTTATCTTTAACCGTTAAGTTAATTGTGACTGATAATGTTTGAAATTTAACACGTTGATTAATTGAGACACAATCACAATTTTCTAACTGTTATTGTTGAAGATTCTCATCTTTTTATATTGTTGTTATTTTCTTGTTGTTGGCATTTTATATAAATATAAAGGGTCACCGATTGTTCATGGTGTTTGAGTTGTGCTCAGTTGCTAAAGTGATTTCATGTGGTTCAATGTTTTCGATGAGAATTCTGTTCTCAATTCTCAATTAGAATATTTCTCTTCTTCTGTTCGCTAGTGATACCTGGTGGAGAGAAATTAACTCATCTGTTGGAATCTTTTCATTCCAAGTTCAACCAAATGGTCGCCATCTTATGTTCAATAATAATACCAGAGAATTTATCACAACTTTTATAAAGTTCGAATTTGTTACTGTCACCTTTGTCCATTTCCAATCAGCGGCACCGGGTTACCAGTTAGAGAATCATATTAAAAGTGAGTAACTGAAGAATCGAAAAAAAAATTCACCTTAAATACTACAGTTTCGCATGAGATATTGTTGAATGTTGAATTCTCAATGGAATAAATTAGATGAATAGAATTCATCTAGATGAAAAGATGGAAATTTTTTGAGAGATTTTTTGTCAACGGTTAGAAAGTTTCCAATTCTCTCCACCAGATTTCACTAGGCAACAGAAAATTGAGTTGAGAGCAGAAAAGTTTGAATTTTCTTCTCACAATTTTGTTGATTCTTATTCACTTGCTCACTGTCTTCTGAACAACTCAACAAGAATATATCCTCTAAATGCTGTGTTTTCACAGAAATCATGTCACTTGTGTTTCAATGTTTTCTTTATGTTCATCAATGGATTAATCATAATCATCATTATAACAACAATAACGAATCTTTATCAATATCATGAATCAACCAACAATTGGATTATTTCTATTACAATTACATGTAATCACAACACTTTCAATTGATGGAATTTCATCATTATCATCATCATCATCATCATCCGGAAGTGAGATTCCACCTTATCTTGTGTTCCAAGATCGAAGTAAAATTGAACCTTATTTCGACAATACAACATCTAAGAATATAACAACTTCTGCAGGTAAAAGTGTCTTCTTGCCCTGTCGAGTCCATCATATTGGTGATCGAACTGTAAGTTGATTTAATTAACTTTTTCCAGACAAAAATTCAACTCGACTCATTTCCACTCATGAACTATCCTCGATTCCGTTTTCCTCTAATGCTAATATTGTCCGATAGTTTTACTCGAATGACCATTAGATGAGCTTAACACTCTTGCATATGAATGACCAATTTAGATTTTCCATCCAGCAATAAGATGAACATGAATCAGTATAATAATAGAAATTTTCCTCATGGATCAGAATTTCTTTATTCCATCACCAATCTTAATTTTCCTCTTTCGAGTGAATCACAATGAACCTTTTTCTATTGATCTTTAAGCCTGATGATGGGAAATAAAAGAAAACAAATTTTTTTTGCATTTGCTTCCTTAATCTTCATTGATAAACAAAGTATTACTTTGGAATTAATCATGATGATGATCATGATGCTTAATCTATCAGATTCTCGAACCAAAAATCTTACTGTTAATCTTTTTGGTGAAATTCAATCTTCAATTTATTATACTATTACATAGATTTCCATCTCTCAGCAAGGGTTAAAGTGCTTAGAATTCATTAACTTTTTGAATGACAAACAGAAAGTAGAAAATTAAATTCTAACTATTGATTAAAATGAATAATTATCATGACAATTGAATTGAAAAAGGAAAAAGTTATTCAAACAATAATAATATTGATACTAATCAATAGGGATAATGAAACAATCAATTAATAATGATTATTGAGGAATTGAAAAGCTAAAAACTTTTACTCCATTGAAAAGGTAATTTCATCATCATCATTAATAAATGATTATCATGAAGATGAGAGAGATAATATTGTAAAGATGATAATAGTCTGTCTTACATTTCGAAAATTTATAATTCATCTCTCTCTCTCTCTCTCTCTCTCTCTCTCTCTCTCTCTCTCTCTCTCTCCTTTCACCCTCGACTTCCTCATTACAATGATAATGATGATAAGGGTGATGATAGATTTTCGTTATTCAATTTTATCATGAAACTTTAACCAACTATCAATAATAATGATCACAACATTTTCCAATGAGTTATTAATAATACAGTTGAAGATAGTAATCATAATGAGAGAGAAATATTCATTGATTAATATATTATAATATTTCTTACTTGAGCGTTTTCTCATCTTTATCGTCATCATTAATGAAAATCAATAGTTTTTAAGATGAATTTTTGAGGTTCATTTTTCATTCTAACAAAATAACATGCTTGATATTTTGAAATAATGCTCATCAGTCATGGTGATGATGAGGTGTTCATGGTATTGGAACGATAAATCAAGAGCTTAATCATGATTCATTGTTGATTTGGAGGAAAAAAAATCAAAATCATTTAAATATCAAGTTTAATGATGAGAATTGTAATTCACTTCATTATCGTGTAAATTTTTTTCTTCACACTTTTACCATGAATTATTATTAAAATATTTTATTGAATCAATTTTGTTCTTGGTGGTTAGATGAGTATTCTGATTATTTGGAAATAAGTTGAGAGATTGTTAAATTCAAAGCAACAATTGAACGATTAAAATGAACACGATGAGGTTGATAGTGGGTTGGAATGGTTAAGATGGTTAGAACAAAGTAAATTGGGGATAAAGTTCTGATTTTCTGGTTTTATTCAAAATTTCATGATAAAGAATAGACTGAATATTATTTTCCAGGCGAAAAAAAAAATGGAAAAGAAAAAATTTATTCCAACAAAATAATCAAATCAATATTAATAACCTTGCATGAGATACGAATGGTAAGATTTTTCCCATATCTGTATTACCCTGGTTTCCATCATTTCTCGAGAACATGATAAACAGAAATGAGAGAAAAAAAATTCCATAATAAAAAAATTCGAAAATCAGGAAATTGTATGAAAAGAGAAATGAACTGAGCAAAAAAACCTAGACTTTTAATGATGAGTAAAAAAAAAGACTCAGAACTTGATGTAGATAATTTTTTCCTTTTTATTCTGTTTCTCCACTGAACTTTTACTGAGCATTCAGAGTTAAATGATGAGCTTTAAATGTAAGTATTTTTTGCTCTTTCAGTTGCTATCATGGAATCTGAATGAAGTAAAGGAAAATAATAAAGGAAATGACGATAAACATGGTAAATATAATGAAAAAATTCTGATGGAAATCATTTAATTCAACTCAGACCTTTCGATTCAGAGCTTTTCACTCACTTATTTTACCTGAATTCCAACAGATATTTTTCAATACATTCGGATACATATTCAACATTGAACCGAAATGATAATATTCATGATGATAATAAAGGTTAGAAGGTCATATGTTGGATGTAAACATTAATTCAATTATAAGAAAAATGATAAACAGTCTTACAGAATCTTCAGTTCATCCTATCATCTTATTCAGTAATCAGAATATTTTCCCTTAAAGGCCTCATAGTTATATACATGTACATATATCTTAGATATTCCCATGCTATTATCATTATCTTCATCATCATGAGTTATATTGAGGTTTCAGCATGATAAAACCAGGAATGAGTTTCCAGGTAATAAAGTGATAACTGTTGTAAGTTATTTATTTAGCTTTTTGTTTTACTTTTTTTTTCTTCACCTTCACCTCCACCCTTATGATTTAATATCCGATAATATAAATTGTAATTACTTAGCATTTGATGATGTCTATAATTATGATTACGATGATGATGATGATGATACCTGTTAATATAATATATTAATCATTTGATTAGTCAGAGAAGAAAATTCTGATTAGCATTATGAGGAATCAGGGAAAAAAAGAGGAGAAAAATATTAGGTGATATTGGATAATGGAAAAAGAAAACAAAACTGTAATTCTTTTCCATGAGATTCATGAACTCATCAATCTGAGTTTCAAGAGAAAGTAAATGTCTAAAGTATATCGCTGAAAGTCACGATAATCTTTTACTAAATTTCCTTTTATTCAGAACTTTTTCTTGGATGTAGAAAATATTGAGAGAAAACAAAATGTTTCATCTAGAGATTTGAAATTTTCATGATACCAGAATTTTTAAATTACTTTCAGATTAACGTTTAACCATTAATGATACTTTCCAAATAGTAGAGATAGAGAGAGAGAGAGAGAGAGAGAGAGAGAGAGAGAGAGAGAGGAGAAAATAAAGTTCCAAATTATCATGATAATAATAATTTCTGTGGAAATAATTAGTTTGATTATTACATTGATATTCAACCTGGATATTTGATCTCAGGGAAGATGATATTGATTATCGTTCAAATGTTTCTTTCTCATGTTCAGAGTTTTTCAGAACTTGTTTCTCTCTACTCAATGAGATTTCCAATTCTTGATTCCATGATGTAGATAATCAATACTTTTCTCTTTCCACCCTATGCTCTCTCTCTCTCTCTCTCTCTCCATCTGTTCATTGCAATCACTGAATTCAGACTCCATTGAACTCATACTATGAGTAATTCATTTACCGTTACCATGATAGTAACAGTCTAGAAGTTCACCCTCAGGCTGATATCAATAATAAAACATGATAATGATAATAAGTAGCAAGGAGAAAAAAATTTCAACTTGAATCATTTCCCCCATTCACATCTCAGAATGGTTCATGATAAATTAATCATGTCAACTAACAGTTATCATGATTCAGATTCCAATGAGTTTCTGTGTTACATTAAAATTTGATTCATTGATGAAAAAAATATTGACGATAATTTCATAGTCAATATTTTCTCAATATCTTTTCATCACCTGGAGTAAAAACTATTAATAAAACAATTAGATAGATAATTGTATATTGATTGGAAATGATTGATTCTTGAAACTTTTTCAACTCACTTTTCACTTGCAATTAATTAAATTGTTCATTAATGTTCATTGCATCATTTTCATCATGAATGTTTATCCGTTGATTGATTAGTTGATTAATAATCAGTATCTAAATAAATCCTAGAGCTTTTAGGATTTATTATATTAGCATCAAGATACAATGTCAATGTTATATTCAAATTAATAGTTGATTTATTTTCATGGTGGATGAGAAAAAAAAATATAATGTTGCTTAACAAATAACGATAATAATAATGATGATGATAATAAATATTCACGATTAAACTTTGATTGATATCATGAAATGGGAGGAAGGGTTTACATGTAAATGAACTGAACATTGTTGTTAAAGTTACACCTTAGGCTATAAAAGTAAAGTTAAGATGAAAATGATGTTGGAAAAGGTTTTAACATGGATACACTTTTCATCCTCATCCTCATCTTCAATCTTCATGAATCCTTTTTAAACAATATTCTTACCACTTTATCTAAAGGTATTCAGTTGAAATCACTACTCATGGTAATACAATATGAGGATAATAATCGTAATCATGGTGAAACTTTTTTTCTATCTCTCTCTCTCTCTTTCTTTCTTTATTCCTGATCACCTTTAGTCTCATGGATTCTATTTTTTTTTCTTACCTTTTTTTTCCTTCTCTCTCATACTGAATGTTCACCGAGTCTTTTTACCCTTTTAACATGTAAATTTATTCCTCGATCGATGAATTAGATTTGGAACTTTCTTCATCATCTTATTACTTGAGTAGGATGACATTAGGTAAATTCTGTGTGTTGGAAGAAATCTTTAGAGATGAAAAAGGAATAAGAAGAAAAGAAGAAGAAGAAGAAGAAGATGATGATGATGATGACGATGATGAAGATGAAGATGAAGATGAGTAAAAAAGATTCTAGTCTTTTGGATTATAAGATGAAGATGCTACAGATTGAGCACATAAAGTAGGGTAAAGCTGGAGAAGCATTTTGTTTCATTAAAGGAGAAAAAGCAAAGATGAGGAAGATAAGGATGATGAAAAGGAAGATGAAGATGATCAAATATGTTATAAGGATAAAAAGGAAAACTGTAAATGCTATTTATTAGTAGGATGGAGAAAGAGATATATATGATGATGAAAAGAAAAGATAATGAGAATACTTGAATTTTTGGTCAAATGTAATCAACATTGAAATTAAATTTTCTGTGGTTATGTTATGGTGTTGATAGTGAGGAGATGTTGATGGTAGGATATGTCTGAAAACTTCAATGATAAGGTGAAACCGGAAACTATGGATGTGGGGCGAGTGAAAATGTTAAGAAGAAACAGTGAAAACTTAGAAAATTGATAGGAAATTACAAAGAAGCGAGAAAAATTTTCATCATCTCTAATTCATGGAAACAATTACCAGAGACAATTCGATGAACAGTTTTGTTACTTGTCTTCTCTTGTTACGATCTTCCACATCCTCATCTTTTTCCATCTTCTATTTTGCCTTTTCCTCCTAATTCTATTCCAACATATCTTCTTCCTCTCATCATCATCAGCCCCACCCCAATCTCTCTTCCTTCTCCTCTTTTTTTTCAAGACAATTTTCAATTCCCTCGACTCAATGTTATCCCTACTAGTGGATTAAAACCTTTATATTCAACAAGATGAAACAAAATTGCTATTATCTATTCTCATCACAATCTCTCTGACTGATGTGACCCAAGAGCTTTTCCTTATCTTCATCATCATGCTCCTCACCTCTCTCTCTCTCTCTCTCTTCTCTCCCTAGTCTAACCCACTCAGCATTTTCTTCTGAGTTTCACATGATATTCATCTGTTGTTGGTTAGTTTGGTGATTTTGAAATGATTTGGTTCACTAAATTTCTGACAAAAAACAATGAATTTTCATGGAGAAAACTTTAAACTACCTCATCAGTCTTACAAGTGACACCACAAATACCCCACCAATGAACAACTAATGATGATTATCATTATTATTATCTGCAAAATGTTAACATCATCCTTTTCCCACCTTTACCATCATCATTATCAACTCTATTATCGTCTTTATATTCATCACTATTATTACTTTTTATCACCATTATTACATTAATAATATTCTGATATAATATTATTTTCTTTTCCTATTCAACTCGCATCTTGAGTTTCCAAAATAATCTAATATTTTCCCCCCTCTGATTATCATCAGCATGAGTTTTTTTTCATCCATTTTCTCAACTATTAATATTTGCTTTTCTATCATGAAAGTAAACACCAATTTCCAGTGTTATCTCATCTTGCTCATTATCATCATGATAATTGTAAACCTAATAATGTAAGATGAAGATCAGAAGCATTTTAAGAATCTAAATCACCAGAATTTTCTGAGAAATATAATTTCACCAAGAAATAGAAAAGGAAAAGAAATACTTTCACCCAAAAATTGTCATCATATTTCAATTGGAAATAATTTTAAATTGATCAGAAATCGATTCAATAAGTTACCTCGTAATTTAACAGATTAAATGTCAAGAACAATTGTAATCTGATTCAAATTGTTCAACTTTAATATTAATGAACTTCTTACTTTCGAGAATAGTCTAGAGAGAGAGAGAGAGAGAGAGAGAAGGGGAAAAAGAAGAAGAGAAATTTTCAGATTAGAACTTTTCCCCCTTCGAACTTGTTTCTTTTTCCTTTTACCAAGATTCTTCAACACTTCTATTAGGCTTAATTGTTGTTTCTCTCTCTCTCTCTCTCTCTCGAAGTTTATTCAAGCTTAAGGATTCAATTAGTCGAAAAGCTTGAGCCTAATTCTACACTCACTCACCACCCATCGAATCTCCCACTCGAACCTTTAATTTTACTTCTGTTTCCTTCCCAACTAATCAATCTAATTGTTTGCCTAATTACGACCTGTAATTTGAATACGAAAACCTTTTTTTTCCTTCTCAATCTAATTACAATTAAATTCAAAGTTTAAATTTAAATAATAAGGGTAAAAGACTCATCAGAATTTCATGGAAAGAAAATTCAATCACACCAAAATACATCTTCTAAATCTGAACAATCAACTCAATTGTATAAAGTAAAATCTAAACGAAAAAACAATCAATGGACTCTAATCAAATCAAAACTTATTCTCACCTAATCAACTCTGATTATCGTTAGTTATTGTTACAGTTTTTTTCTCATCTCACTTTTAATAATTAAATGATCCACTCAAATTCACAATCTATTACTCTAATTTCTTGCAAACAACAACAACAACAATTTGACTTTTATCACAACTCTAATTATATGGTAATGATAACCGTTCATTATTAAATCAATCATGTTACCACTCAGAACTTTTCTCAGAAAATTATTCAGATGCATCAGTTATCATGGTAATGAAAATGGTGATGTTGATGATGATGATGATGATGGAGGAGGAAATTAAATAAATTAACATAGGGGAAATGTTTTCAATAGAGTTACCACATGATTATGGTTCAATTAGCTAAATACTGTACACGAGCTAATTAATTTTACAACAATAAACCTTTTTTGTGAAACTTAATAGCGATTAAAAAAGTTCATTTGATAATTTTCTAAGCTCATTTTCACCTTCTCTCATGCGGATAAACAAAAATCTCTTGTATATACACAAAGTAAATTGTGATTACTAAATTACCATCACCATCAAGAACAACAATTTACTCATCCGTTTCTACCTTAATAAACTTTACTCTTTACAGTTCTTATTTTCAATTCCATACTCAACGATTTCTCGCCTTTTTCTTTCACCATGTTGATTGAATTCCATCAATTCTGTTTTACATTTCTATGACTTTCTCTCTCTCTCTCTCTCTCTCTCTCTTTTCAATGGTCACTCACACTGACCAATAGATCCGAGGAAAAACCTCGCCCTTCTGTATATATAATATATATCCGATTCTCTGTCCATCTATCAAATGTATTAACCATCTGAATGAATCCATTTATTTGATTAATATCATTGAGTTAATCATGTTAACCCAAGACAATCAATGAGAAAACCTTATTTAATTCAGTTCCAATGGAAATTTTCAGGATACAATATTACTGATTAACCTAAATTTAGTTAATTACATTTACACTATTTAATATTAGTTTGTATTAATATGAAACTGGTGATTAATTGTAAGAATACTAATCATCACTTATTCAACCTTATTATCCAACTCAATTCATTTATTCATATGATTGAATTTTTTTTTATTCATTCAATTATCAGCATCGAGAAATTTTCAAGAACTGAATTGATATTATTAATATTTTGATATCAGATTCATGGTAAAATTGAGGAAATAAACAATTTATAATTGAGTAACTATTAATATCGATACATTTAATTGTTATTGATCATCATGTTAATATAATAGCAGTTATTGATAGATTACAATTTACCTTAAATGAAATAACATACACTGTAATCAATGATTTAATGATTATTGATAAACTCTCATTGATTAACAATTAAATTAATTACATATTACATAAACTAGTATTATATAACTCCCATTGGTCACTTAGCAACATTAATTATACAGATTGACAAGATTAACAGGGATAATTACAATTGTCCAGTTACTCAAGTTGAAACTGTAATTGAAATGAATTGAATAATATTAATAATATTATTGATTCTAAATAATATTCAATCAAACCAATTGAATCAATTTTGACTATTCAAAATCAATCAGACAAAAAAAAGTAAGATTATATTGATTCTGTTTACAGAATCATCATAAATCTGATAGTTCAATGGTCAAGGCTTGACCTCTCTCTCTCTCTCACTCTCACTCATGGTCAGTTTCTAGTTGAAAATGAATGACAATTACTCTTTAGGTTTCATTTGATTTCCCTTGGTAATTTATCAACGAGCAATATCATTATTATGTAAAGAGGGAGAAAGAAAAAGTTCATTTTGAATTTAATTCACTCAGAAAAAAAGAGAGATAGAGAGGCAGAAAAAAAGAACCAAATAAAAAACCTCTACCATGAATATCAACTGAATCATAATATTTACTAAGAATAAAATTCTGATTCAGTTAACGTATATAATATTAATATAACCAAATAATAGTATAATATGTTCACCCTGATGATGGATCCATTTGAACTTGAAAAAAAAGTATGACAACTTTTTTTTTATATCCATATAATAAATATCCATCATGATGATTATCATCCACTTGATCATATCTTCATCTGCAAAATGGTCATTCATAATCTGTCATCATCATTATTATCTTCATGACAGGTTACCATGCAATTTTATTTTCCCTGATTTATAATAATAATAAATATTAGAGTAAAGCAAGAAAAAAAAAGATATTCATGTTAATAATACTAACTAATGTTTTCCAGTGAATAATATCAACTAATAATATTATCTTCATCATCCTTGTATTATTTTCCTCTCAATAATTCAGGTTTCATGGATTCGACGACGTGATTTAAATGTTTTAACAGTAGGTAAATATACTTATACTCCTGATCAGAGGTTTCAGGCTGTTCACATGGAAAATTCTGATGATTGGAGTTTACAAATTGGTTATACATCAAAAAGTGATGCGGGAATTTATGAATGTCAAGTTTCAACGAGACCACCGAAAAGCCTATTCGTTAATCTAAATGTTGTTGGTAAGTTGATTGACTTGATTGTTATTCATCATCACCAATAACAAGAGTAACACAACAACAACAACAAGCATCACTTTTATTACAACAGAATCATGATATCATAATGATATCATGAGAATAATATTATTATTAGAGAGGCAAAACGAACCACAGTTGATAATGAGCCAAAATTACATTATGATGCGATCAATGAAGATTGAGAGATGATGAAAGTTACAGAAAAGATGATGAGAATATCATTTGCAAGTTAATGTTTCTATTCATTTCGTTGGAACCTATTCAATTGTTGTTATTACCATGAAATTTTTATATATATATTTTATTAAATTGAATTTGGGTCAATCATTGATTCTTATATTATTATTATTATTTTCATCATCATGGTAGTTTAGGTTGTAACCTTTTCCTTTTCGTTTCTGTTTTTACTTTTGACTTTTCATTCAATTTTTTTTCTCTTTGATTTTTTTTCGTTGACAGAATTTCAAAAACAAAATTTTCAAGTTATGAACGATTTCAATCAATGTAAACACAACAATAGAATCAGAATTAGGTGTAGAAAAAGAGAGAGAGAGAAAGAGAACAAAAAGAAAAATTGAAACCCGGTTAAAAGATCAATTGATTTCCATGATTGATGATTGAATCAAAAAGTTCTGGTTCTCTTTCACAGTTGAACCTTTTCTTGTTCCATGTTCTCATTTGAATTGAATTCTAATGATAAATTTTTTCCTTGAACAATTTTCTTCTCGTTTCCTATCATGGTAATGATTCACGAATCAGTCTCTCAGGCCAAGATAGCTGGAAGTCCAACAGTTTATTTTAGTAGTGATAATACACTGAATTTAACATGTATCGTTGATGGTGCACCAGGTCCTCCAGATTTCATATTCTGGTATCACAATGGTGAAGTAAGTTACAACATATTCCGAGTTGATTCATGATTACAGAATTTCTGATCACATTTGTAAACAATTTTTTTCTTATTCTCATTTACAGGTAATCAATTACAACTCACCTCGTAAAATTAAGGTACAATTAGTGAAAGGAGCTCAAGCAATGTCTATATTAACAATTAACAAATCAATGCCCAGTGATTCAGGTAATTACAGTTGTGTCCCATCAAATGCTGATTCAGCTCATATAGCTGTTCATGTACATAATAACGGCGGTCAACCGGCGGCCATGCAACATGGTAAACGAAGTGCTGAAAGTTTAATCAACAGCTCACCATCAAGATTAACAATCAACCCAATAATCAATTACCTTTTCAATCCATTAAATCAACTTTTTACCTCAATTTTAAATCAACAATCAACTAATACTTGCGAAAACAATAACAATCATCATCTTCAACATCATCATCATCATTATGATCAGCTGATAGTTTACCTGTCAAATGTTATACCGACAATTATAAGGACACTTTGCCTTTCCTTTTGTCTTCCTTTATGGTTATGTTTTGTTAAAGATTTTCAATCAATCCGATGAAAATATCCATTGGTCAGTTAACCCTAAATAAGAAGAGGATATTTAATGGGCACACATACTGACCAATCGTTGGTCAGTTGTGAGTGATAACCTGTGAATATCATCATCGTGTAAATGATGATGATAATATAATGAGGATGAATGTGAAATCAATTATATAAATATTATTCTAAACAAATAATGAGAGAGAAAATTATTTTGTGTCTTCTTTTTGATAAAAAAAAATTAAAATCACTCATGATTATTATTAGAGATACATGATGATCAGCATCACATGAAATATGGATTGAGATAAATTCAATCAATTGGAACAATGAAATTTCATCAATATTTCAGAGAATAAAAGAAAAAACTATTCTCCATGTTGTTTATCATCTTTACTCTTCTCAACCTTTTCTTCTTCATCATCTTTACCCTCAAATACATCGATCAACCTGCCAACATGAGCATCATCATCATCTTCATTATTATTACACACATGAACCACTCACCTTAACCTCCCACCCATTGAATCAGCATGGAAGAAAACGCGAAAGAAAGGAACACATTGAAATTTGATCATTCGAAGTGGAAACAACTCAACTTTTTCATGATCTCTTTTTGAAAGTAAATTTCATCACGATTACAATCACTTTCGAAGCAAAATTTCAAACTGATTAACTCATAAACTTTTACATCAATTCAAATTTACCACCAAAATGGATCATCTTTATCACCATGATTTTTGCCATCAAACAAATTGAACCTTCACCTGATAACTTTTACCTTTACCTTTTCCTTTCCTCTTGTTATCTTCCACTTTTATCATCACAATCATCATTTATTGTCAAGTTTTAACTAATTTCTCAATCAATTCCCACTCATAAACCATGCAAATGAACTGCTATTAAACAAACAAGGCAAACAATCAACAGAAAACTGTATAAACTAATTTGACGATTCGTTTGAATGATGAGATGATTAAATAACTAAAATACAATAAAAATAAACAATTTTACATCCAAATACCATGAATTTGCCATGATAAATGTGATGAATAAAACTGAGTAATTAATAATTTTCCACCAAAAATTATAAAAGCTGAAAAAGCTACAGAAACAACCTTTGAATTTTTAAATGAGCTTTTCAGGGTTTTCCAAATTTATTTCCATGTGAGTTATCAAAAGTTTACAAATTATCAATATTAATTAACCTCCAGAGAGATTCTCATATGAATTTATCGCACTAGAACATGATAATAGTTAATAAGTTTCTGGTCAATTCGAGAGAGAGATAAACTTCCTCGCCACATAAATGATTATCTTTCAATGGCTCAACTGAGGGTTTCCTAAGCTCAATGATGATTTGTCTTGATCCCAATTAGTGTTTCAATTGACCATAATATTATCTAGAACTTTATTCTTCATCCTTGTCTCTCTCTCTCTCTCTCTCACTCATTCTTCCGGTTTAAATTTATATTTTTTTCTGAGAATAATTAGTCTTTGGCAAGCTAATTATCAGTAGATTTAATCGCAATTAGAATTTTCTGCTTAGATTGAAATTACTTTGCAGATAATTTGTCTTGTCTTTTAGAATAGAATTTTTTTAGCATTTTATCTAATATTTCCAAAAGAATATGGGTCACAAGAGGTCATTGTTATTCCCCGAGAATAACGTGACCTTCAACTCGAAAATCAAGTAAATTAAACCACGTAAACTCTGTATTTGCATACAAACATCTTCAACCATCACAATGACTTTACCAATTGTGCTACAAAGATATTGAAACTTTTAAGCTCATCTGACTTTGATTCATTATCCAATTATGATTACCATAACTTTATCAAAAGAACGATAATTTCATGATAATCCAATTGAGCCTTCAACTTTTCACAATCTTTGTCATCTAGTTTTTTTTCACACTGATTAGTGTTATCATCTTTTTTTTTTGCTTCCATACTATTGTTTAATATGTGATATTTTTGTCTTCTTATCCAACGAACTGTTACTCTTATCATGCTGATATCTCCCATAGAAATACATTGTTTATCAGGAGATAAAGATGGAGAAAGGTAGTAGATGAGACATGAGGAGAGAAGTGAGTGAGTGAGAGAGTATCCAAGCTGATGAGATGAGTAAAGTTCAGTGTGTTTCATAATAATATATATAAATGTTCATCTTCATTGTCTACAATTAATACTTCCTAAGCTCTTACCCTCTATTCATATGAAAGCTCAACAAAGGAAAACGTAAAGACGATGAGATACTGGTTGAGATAATGATGCATGATGACAATGGCGATGAGAAGATGATAAAGATGATAAAGATGAGAGAACAGAAAAAAATGAGAAAATGAAAAGAAGCGAAAGAAAAATTGTGACGTTGATAGTTACTATTAAATCACAACTGTAATTAGATAAAATTTGATGAATAATTAATGGGGAAGGATGAAGAAAACAACGGATAAAGATGAGGATGCTGATGATGATGATGATGATGAAAGTAACATTATTATTACTTTTTTATTGCTTATTATTAATGATGAGTGATGATGATACAAATCAGTAGGAGGAAGATGAGCAAATTATTGTCATCAAATCAGGAAGATGGGAAAGGAGTAAAAGAGAATCAATAATGAACATGGAAAGAGAAAGAAAAATAATCTAATCAATTATTCAGATTTTTTTTTCTTTTTCACATTAAATTCAATTGATTGAATTTACTCATTTCTCAAATAATTCTTATCATGTTTATAACCAGGATTTCATGATGATGAACATGATGCCAACAAGGAGAGATTTTAATTGCTACGAATGTATTTCTTTCTCATACCATGAAGAGAAATACAATTAATTTATGATCTACTCATGCAATTAGAATCAACTTGTCGTTTCAAATTATTAATCATGATCAACTGTAAATGGAATAATCTTTGATTCAATTGATACAATATTAAACTATGTTGAAAAGTGGACATTATTTTGGTGATATCATGAAATTTCATGGGGGAAAAAGTGAATAGAGAAAAGGAGACAAAACTTGGAATATAAATAATAATCCATAGACAATTGGATGCATCGATGATTTTATTTAGCAAACAAATGATTAACATTCGTTGAATTTGAATTAGCTCATTATGAGTTTTTCCAATCGTTGAAAGTTTGATAATCTAATTTCAGATATCAGATGATACATTGGATAAAAAAGTTATCATGATTTTGTTTACTTCGATGCTACAATTACTTTGGATAGGTAGGCAGATAACTACAGGTAATATGGTTTGTATGTCTCGAATCATTTTCATGGTTCAATCTTTGTTACATTGGCTTTTGGTTAATCTGAATCATTGTATTCAAGAATTGAGGTTATGATTTTAATCTTGATAAAATGGTTTACATTTATCATACTGAAAACAACAGGAGTCAAATGGTTTCACCATTTCCATGATTTATAATTGAAAATACATGATGATGAGGAGAAAAACAAAAGATGAAGAAAATGATTTTGATGAATTATGTTGCAATGGGAGAGAGAGAGAGAGAGAATAAGTAACAGTAAGATAAGATACACAATTGGGAAGAATGATAAAAGCGAGAGAGAGAGAGAGAGTGAGAGAGAGAGAGTGAGGGAGAGAGAGAGTGAGTGGAAAGTGATGGAGAATAAACAACAGAGAGAAACGCGAGAAAGTAAAGAGAAAGAAAGAAAATGATGATGATGATGATGAGAATAGGGATGAGAATGACAAATGATGAGGCTGGAAAGAAGACAAAGTGTCAAACAGGAAGAGAGAGAGAGAGAGATCGGAGTGGGACGGAAAACAAAAGCAAGAGAAAAACGAATAGAACAAAAAAAAAGTTCTGAAAGGAAGAAAACAGAATGTAAACTCACAGGAGTATAAGATGCAAAAAAAGATGATGTGAATAATGATGAAGAAGATGATAAAGTAAAAGGTTGACACAGTCAAAGTTGAATGGAGTAAGTTGATAATAATGATGATTACGAACGAGAAATGATGATAAATTGATGGAATGCAAAACAAGAGATGCTCATCATGGTTTCGTTGTCTAATTGTTTAAAAATAGTTTCACATGATAGAAATGAACTCCTGCAAATAATAATAATAATAAGATTTGGCGGCAATAATAATTTTCTAATAATAATTCAGATAAAGATGAAGATAAAGTCGAAAAGGCAAAAATGATTACTAACGATATGTTCATGTAATACATCCTGAAAACAAGACATGAAGATAATGAGTTTTGAAAAAATGTTTAAAGTTCTTGACATGAGGATTCATAGTCTTTCCTTGTTAAACCATCAGAATTATCTTGCTGATTCAAGCACATCATGGGACTTGTCATCCATTTTCATCATTATCTTTTTGTTCTTGTAGTTTTTTTTTCTTCATCTTCTTCTTTCTCTTTTTTTTATTGAATTTGTTTGCCATGAAAATGCATGAGGCCGATAAGAATTTTCTTCTTTCTTTACTTCTTCAGATGAAATTGAATATGGAAGAGCACTTGATGACACCATATTCAAGGAGTAAAGTGATTGCAATGAAAAGCCAATACAAGATGAACATAACCAATGCCAAGCCAAGATTTAAACGCCAACGAAATGAGGAAATGGAAATGATGACAAAAATTATCATCGTAAATAGTATTCCAATTGAACAGATCGTTCCCTGTGAGTTTATCTTATACGAACCATTGAAGATTGTATAAAGAAACCAAGGTAAAGGTAATCTATGGGTTTAAATAGAGAGAAGAAGATGAAAGAACAGAAATAAATGTAAATTAGATGAAAGTAAAAAAAAAGGTAACATGATAATTTCTTATGATTAGGATGAGGATGGAGATGAAAAGATGATGGAAATTACAGTTACTAGGAAATTCCAATAGAGATGAAAACGTGTATTATATTGAAGGAATGGTAATGATTTAAATTAGATCTACTCAGTGAATGAGGAAAACAGAAATTCAATAAATGATTAAAAATTAATGATACAATCAAAATACCTTTTAAATTCATTTCATTCATTTATATGCAATTCTGGATTTACTTATGTATTATTTACAATGCAATTGCATTAGAAGCTTATTTAATATTATTGTTATTCTTGATGATGAAGATTTTCATGATAATAATGATAATGATGATGAAATTTTCCATTATCATCTTTAAATTGTAGTAAATGTTTAATCTACCATAGTGTTGATATAATCAAAGATCACATGTAAATGTAACTCACTTGGTTGACTGATAACTTGAATATATTATATAGTAAAATGATAATATTTTTCAGTAGATTTCAAGTTGCAAAGAGTTTATCATTATTATTATTATTACTTTCAATTCTGATTTACTTATTGTTACCCATGTTGACTTGAGAAAATTGTAATTGACTGTAATATTTAATGAGGAGAAAATGATTCCAAGGTTGAATCAACTAAATAATATCAAGAATATAATATGTATTTATTATTATAAATACCAGAATATCTCTTATTTGGTTGGTTGGATTTCCTATTTTCCCCCCGACTTTAAAATGTTACCAAAGAAAATGTTGTATTCATATTATTTGTCTTTATATAAATATCTTTTCTATTATTATCCTCTCTCTTTTTTCCCCTGTAAGGTATTCACTCAAGAATTCACTTTGCATACCCTTTTTTTTCCTGGAAAAATTCTTGAAATATTAGTTTGAAATAATCTTTTCCATATATTCAGATTTCGTATCAATTTTGAGATAAATATTCACTTTTTTTCTTGGAAAATTTGAATTTCTGGTCTTTCATATTATTATTTTTTCACCTTTTTTTTATAGTAGCATGATAAAGGTTATGATTATTTGATACATTTTTTGTTTTCTTTTATTACTTTTACTCTCTCAGAACTTTGATTATGAATATTGATCTTTAAATGTTGACAGAAATGATAATCATGGTAACTTTCATTTGGTTTGCAATAATATGTTTACTCTCATGATTTGATTGAGTTTACATGCACTGGAAAAGATAACTAGGTGATTAAATATTCATTTTAATATAACAGTTATGATGATTGTTGATAGTAAATGTATTAGTATTTAGCCTGTCTGATTACATTGTTATCGTTTTTATTTTACCTGATTGAGTTTTCCATGTTTCTATCAATTAATTTTATATCATTAGCATGATCTGTTTTTTTTATCAATGTATTTATTTTTGCTTCTCTCATGTACTAGTATATAACTGAGTATATGCTTTTTCATTATTAATATCATGAGAAATAACAAATGATTGGAAGGCTAGACTTTTTTTCTCAGTGTGAATAAAGTTTCAATATCATGTTATCATCTATGAACTAAGATTACATAGGGAGGGAGAGATAATGATGATGATTATATATATAAGGTGTATGATTATCTTCATGTTGATTTGTTGTTCTCTTTCTATGCTCGCACTTTTTTTCTAGAATCATCATTAATCTAACCAGGTCATTGTAAAGAAAGAAAAAGGGAAGACAAAAGAATGATGAAGAAGAAAAAATGAAAATTGCAAGTGAGATTGATGATGATGAGAAGAAATCAAGAGAAACACAAGGAAAACGAGAGAAATGTAACAAGATGAGGATGATAATGATTAGAAGGCGAATGAAGGTGGAAGATAAGGGAAAGAGGAGAAATAAGATAAAGGGTGAGAGAGAGAGAGAGAGAGAGAGGAAGGAGAGTCAGTGTGTATTTGGGTAAAGTTGAAATTTTCATCAGTTATATGGATGAGAGAGTTCAAAGTGAGCGACAATATTAACAAGGTATCAAAATTTTCATCATCAATCTCTTACAGAATATGATTCTGGTTCTGAAATGAGTTCGCTCGTGAGCTGAGATGGTGAGAACCATGATGATAGTAATAATAATGGCGATGATGAGAGGGAAGACCCAAAATTTACAACTATTCAAGCTTGAAGAGGAATAAGAGAAGATGATACAAAGATGATTTTGTAACAAGTGAATGAGATGAGAAAATAAAATAATGAAGAGGAGGAAAAGGTAATAGAAGTGAAAAAAAAGTTCGGGGCAAAGTTTCAAAACTTAATAAAAAAAATGAAATCTCATCGACTCCCTGCTGATTCCTCATAGGAATTGGTAGGAGATAATATTGAGTGGGGTTGGATGCATGAGAAATTGATTCCAAATTCACCATAAAAGTTATTATTCCAATAGTATTGTGAAGGAGATTTTCATGGAGAGTTTTCTTACTCTGCAATAAACAGTAGAGGGGAAAATAACGGTAAATAAAATAGAAACAATAAGATAGTTTAAAAAGATGGATGAAGATGAAAAACGAGACAGAGAAAAATGAGATGAAAAAAGAAAAAAGTTTTAATAATATTATTTGCAACTCTCTGAGAATACAAATTGAGTTTATCATTTACTTTTCTTCCCCTGTGAGTTTAATCAGAATTTTTCTCTCAGAGTTATCGGAAAGATGCTAGTAAAATGATCTAATATCATCTGATAAATAACGGAAGTAACTGGATAGTAATAGTAAAATAATCACAGATTCATTTACTCTTTAATAACTTAATCTTTGATAAACATAATCATTTTGATATTAACCTTTTCTACCTTATTACAAATTAATGGTGAAGATGATTCTAATGTATAAATAATCTTGAAAATTATCTGCAAACCTTGAATTAGGAAGATGAACTTACGGTGATAAAAAAGTAGAGAGAGAGAGGAAGAGATATATTTTCATCTTCAGTATCTTTATACGCCTAGATAACTAATTGAGTTTATGGATTATGATTAACACAGAACTTAAATCAAATTGAATCATGAGAAATTATCTCCTCTTTTTCTGGTTGATTCATGGAAGGAAAATAAACAGAACTGTTGATGATAATGATGATAAATTTTTAGATAAGAATGAAGTTTGGTAGATTAGGATGAAAATAAGTATGTGTTATACTTGCTGATATCGTTAATAAGGTTGAATAGATGATATGATGAGAATTGTTTTACTCTTTTATTTTGATTCTGATAGGAGAAAACAAGTTCTAAACAGAGAAAGAAAAACAATCATGAAGAATGATAAGTATGAGAATTTTTTGACATCATTTCATGTTGGAAAAATTCTGAGGAAAATGTTGCAAATATCAAGTATTACAAGAAGAAGGAGGAAGAAAAAAAAAGATATTCGAAAGCCTTAAGCTTTTGTTTCATTCTTAAGCTTTAGTCAAAGTTTTACCTTGAATTCAAGTTCTGAATATGATATACAAGGAGAATCATCGTTTCTCCTTCTCATCTTTTTTTTTCATTATTCTTACAGAAGATGAAGATGAGAAGGAAAAATGATAGAGAGGGTAAATGCATCCACTCTAATTCAACAATATTCTCTCTTTATCTTCATTGCATTTTCTTTAGTTTCTCTCCTTCCCCATGCAAGTGAAAAATGAGAATTTTCGTTGGAGAAAGTTTATCATTTCGAAGGGAAAAAAGTAAAGAAGAATGAGAAAAAAAAAATATATATGCCAACATGAATCAAGATAATTTCATATCGCTGAACCATATTCTTTCCTCAGGCTTTACACCCTCAACTCAATTCACCTCTTCTACCACCATCTCTATCTCTCTCTCTCTCTCTCTCCTTCATCTTCTACTCTCTGACAAGACTTGAAACTTATGTAACTCAAATATTAATACAAATTTATTTCTCCTCTCTCCTTCCTACCAATCACCCCACCCTCGAGTAGAGTGGGAAAGGATACAAGTAAAGCGAAACCTCTCCATCTTCTTATTTTCTTACACTCACAACTCATTCCCATTCTCGAAATAATAATAATGATAATAGTAAATTAACTTTCTTGATAGATAACATTTCAATCAGTTGTAATCGTCATCTGGTTATCATTTTTTATCCTCTCGTTTTTTTTTATCTCCCTTGCAAAGTTTCAGCCTCAAGTCTCAAGTATCTCTCACTCACTTTCTCTCTCAGTGTGAATCTATTTACTCAATTTTACTTCAAGTGATGAAAAATAAAGATGCTACCAGGGATGATGACAACAAAGAAGAGATAACATTTTAAATGATTAACCAAAGTAGAGGAAAGAAAAAGTTTTTTTTTTCTCTCCTTGGAAATTGATTGAGATCAAGTTTCCTAAATAATAAGAACCAAGAATGATCATAATCAATTATCTCTTCCCCTGTAAGTAACATGTAAACTTTAAGAAAGATTTAAATTACTTCAATCTCATAATTTACAACAATAGTCATTAAGCTAACGATTAATCAATGTTTAATTATCTATTTTAAATCAATTGATGGAACCAGATAAATGCTTTAGATTGTAAAAGTAATTAGAAAGTGAAAACTTATCACCAAACTTTTGAATAGATGAAAGTTTTCACAGAATGGGAAGAGAAAAGTTTTTTTAAACTTTTAGGAAAAGTTCTAAGCACTGAGTTCGAATACTTTTTAAAAAAGTTTATGATAACTAATTGATAACATCTTAAATCAGAGTACATTCAAATTCTTTATATTTTAAACTTTTTTCTTTGAGTATTTATTATATTGGGTGAGTTTTCTTTTCGTCATTACTCAATTTGAATTGACCAAAATTAGGAAGAAAATTTATTCGAATCTGATTTGATTTATCCAAGTTTATCCAATGCTGAGCTTAACCTAAACTCTTAACATTGAAAAACAAGGTTATTTATATACCTTGAGATTTGAAATGTTTATCGTAATCCTTTTCAATGGGTTTACATTTAAAATAGTTGAGAAAAATGTTACATTCCCTGGTAATTCATGTTCATGAACTTTTTCTATCTCTGATTTTAAATTTTTCATGGTAAATAAATTGCTCCCAGCACTTAATTTACCTACAGTAATGGTGATGTTAAAAGAAACCATTTGAAAATAATACAATCAAATTAATGGACTTTTCTGTAAGCAATCAACAGTAAATGAAAACCAAAAGAGAGGACAAGATAATCCTTTTAAATCCTTATCTAAATGAATTCAATGATAATGATGAGAGAGAGAGAGAGAGAGAGAGAGAGAGAGAGAGAGAGAGAGATAAAATTACTAAAATTTTAAAACGGAAACGGAAATGATGCTTGAGTGAACAAGAAATTGTGGACTTGGAAGAAGATGAAAAAAGAAGGTTTGTTAATATGGAATTGAAAGAACAAGTCACTTGTAATTCCTGAGGTTAATCATGTGATGAGAAATATGATGATAAACAGAAGATTTTGAGAATAATCAAATGACGATTGGTTGAAAAATTTTCCAATTCAAAGAAATGAAAAGATAATATTATCTGATTGAATCAAAAGATTCTTTTTGGAACTTTTCCTTCATTGAGATCTAATTTTTTAATGTTAGTTATCTTCAATTTTCATTCTTCTTGCTAGATTGAGTTGATGATGTGAATGAGATTCTGAGGCTTAGGATGATGATGAGTTAACCAAAAGATGATAACCTGTTAAACCAACAGAGAGCCTCAAGGTGTAATATAGATAATGGATGCTGATTGAATGATTATTGGTCAATGAAATGTTACCAGTAATGGTCAAAGGTATAAGAATGATGAGGAAGAGAAAATAAAAAGAGATGGAAGATGAAGATGAAGATGGTGATGGTGATGGAAGAATAAAAAATAAGGTAATTCAGTTAGTCTAAAGTATTCGTGTGCTCATTGAACTTGAGAAGATCCCGTTTCTCATGAGATGACATGAATTTCAGTCCATCGATCACCATTCAATTTTCAGTAAAGAAAAAACCTTTTCAACAGTCAGAAGCATCATCATCATTTTCGCTAGCAGAATGTACAGTGAAAAGAAAAAAAAACTGTAAGATTCAATGTTTATATGCGATTTTTTTTCTTCTCTTTGCTTATCATCTTCATCTCTTTATCTAACATTTGTGTTTATCGACTGTGAAGACAAGTAGAAATGAGAGAGGGAGAGAAGAAAAAAAATGATAGAGAATCAAGTTACTTGTTCATTTTCTTACTTGATTTTTTCTCTTTTTGTTCCTACACTTTACCCTCCCTTCACTTCCTCCTACTATTTTCTATTCTAACCCACCTCTCCCTCATTCTCTCTCTCTCTATCACTGAATCTCCCTCTCTTATCATCTACCACCTCTTCCTCTGAATCCTCATCTTCCCAGTTTTTTTCTTCCTCTTTGCCTCACCCAAACTCTGCATCTTATTTTGGGTGAACAAAAAAAACAAGTGAAAAACAAACAAACTTATCCATTTGTCTTGACTGAAACAACATACGATCATTAACTAATGTTCAGTATTTGAACTTTCCATCTCTGCCCTGATCCTGAAACTCTGAGAGAAGCAGCATCTTTTGTTGTTACTCATTATCACCATCATAATGTAAACACAATACAATCTAATACATTTATCAATATATAAATAAAAAAAATATGACAAATGTTTCCATTTACTAACCCAACGGTTATATCAAAAATATTACTTCCAATCGAACTGGATAAAGCCATGTCACCGAAACCTTTTCTCGCCACAAGAATAGAGGTAACTAGATCAGGTACCGAGGTACCAGCCGCCAAAAACGTAAGACCCATAACCTCTGAGGGTATGCCGAAAGTTTCACCTACAAGGGTTGCCCACCAAACCATGAGATATGAAAAAATAGCAATCCAAATGATTGAACCAACGAAACAAGCGACAAACCAGCGTTTCTTTTCCTTGGACAAAAAAATTCAGAAAAAATATCAAACTTTATATCGATAAACATTGAAGAGACACCGAAAGGAATGAAATTGGAAATTTAATCCAAAAAAGTGAAAAAAAAACCAATGAACATGATAGTTAACTAGTCATTTACATGCAATGATATCTTTTTTTACACCACAAGTATCAGGTAAATTTCGTGGTATCATGTTGATAGTAATAATCATTTAGGATGTAAAGTGCATGCATAATTTGCTAATTGTGTAAATGAACCAGAATTGTAAGTATCACATTTGAATGTGATTAAGGAGAATGTTTCAAAAAAGGTAACATTATGTTTCATGGATTTAAATTCATTATTAATTAATCTGTAAGTCAAATAAAAATCAGGATTAATAGTAATTCTTTTACATAAAACAATGGATTCTTTTACCAGGTAAATATTAATATCATTTCACCTTTAATATTTCAATGGTAATTTGTAGGTACTCAGCTTAGTGATAGGAAGGAGGGTATGGATCATGATGATGATATTAACATGAAGATTTAAATACTGGCAAACAAATTTGAGCTCCAATCTTTGTTTTGATTATTATCAAAATTATCAAAATAATTGCAATTTTGATGGCTTGAAATTCAAGTATTAATAACAAAAAAATAACAAGAATCCGAAACTAAATGGAAAAGTATTCAAATTATCATGAACCAAGATCATTATATTATTGTTATTATTTTTCTTACAGAATGAAACGTGAATAATAATAGGTAATAACAGTAGTAATTTAATATATTATATGCATTTGGATGTATGTAAAGCTAATGTCATAATATGTATTGGACATTGAATAGCTGGTGAAACAGAGGATGCAAAGGATATGAAGATGAAGATGAGGATGAGGATGGAGATGAAGATGAAGGAAGAGTATGAGATGTGTCAAGGCAAGAGGAAAAAAAGAAACACTTATAATACTTGTATTGTTAATATTAGACGATAATTCTGGTTGAACAATATTAACCATGCAAAAGGTGAAGACCAATAAATAGTAGTCTCATCTTTTTTGTCATCTTCATTTCCCTCGTCATTATTATCTTCCTCTTCATCATCATCCTTACCTCATGTTTATATATATACACACACACAAGGCTCATGGTTTCATTTCCTCTTGGAACTGACAAATTCATGACAATCTCATAAAGCCTCCTTATTTTCCTTCATCATCCGAATATGAATTTACTTTGACACAGTTAACTTCCTCTTTTTCCTCTCTCATTCTTTATCATTTTAACCATTCCAATCTCATCAGATAACCTATTCCTCATCTCTAAGCAGTTATTAATAATTTACATCTAAATTCATTCTGTTTGAACTTATCTGTCCCCCCTGAAAATCTTAGCACTTTTTTTCCTGACCAATTGTCAAATGGTTTAGATCCTTTTTTTAGAGTTCAATCTTTTTCCCTTATCACCAAGCTACTGAATTCTATCATGGAACACACCATCATCATATTCATGAGAATTGTTCAACTTTGAATTAGATTCATATTTGTATTCTCTTTAAGTTCCAATGCTCATCAAATAGCCTACAGGTTTTTACTGAGATATTATCATGGAAACTTTTACCCGGCATAAGAAGATAAAATCTTTTAAGTGCAATAATAACATTCAACTGAATAAATTTAATCCATTAATCAATGTGTCAGATAACAGTTAAATCAATTGAATTATTGAATATGAATCTGAACAATAAGTGAAAAAAAGTGCTCAGGAAATAAAAGAAAGTTTCAAGTGAAACTATCTCATGAATTTTTGAGAGAAAATTTTGCAAAATTGTAAAAGTTAATCATCTAAATGAAATACAACCATCGTAAAGATTAAATTTCATAGGTTTTGACTACAATTAGGAGGACAATTTTGAAAGAAATTTTTTTTTCGCAACAAACAGAATCAATTTATCGATGGAAACACTTAAACCCTTCTTTTTGAACCAAATCAACTGAATTTAGGCTTACAATGAAATAAATGATACTCATTATCAATATCAATAGGAGAGATTTTTTTTCTCATCTCAATCATGACAATTTTGTATCTCTTTGTATCAATTTTTAAATTGATTCTACAATTCTTGGATATTGATGATGTTGCAAGGGAATTTAGTTATCAAGAAAACACTTCAAACAAGATAATGAGTCTTATCATATTGAAGTATCGATTGATTATCGTCATTATCTTCAACTGCTGTTACCATTTTAGTGATGAAAAAAATAGTTACTTTGTGCCTTTGATCATTTTCATGATGTTTACTTGCTGGTATCTAAATGATAACTTACCGGTTTTCTTACATCAGGTAGCGTTAACCATAAGGGATAGACAATTGGAACCAGTAGTAGATAAGTTATCCTTTTTGACCATGAGGTGGGCCATGAAAGGTCCAAAGGTTCATTAGCTGTTTCCTCAAGAGTTTCCCTCATCTATGAGATTCATGAACCAGTACAGAGACAACAACCAGAGAGAAGAAAAGAAAGATTCAGAGAAAGAAAAAGAGAGAGAGATAGAGAATTATGATAGAAACAAGTTGACCATTATACGGATAGTATATTGTGTGTGAGTCTATTGAAAATGGAAACAATAAATTAGACTCAATGTTCAATGTGATTGACATTCGATTCACAATTCAATTCGAAAAGATAAATTGATTTTCATTCTTCACCTTTTCCTTTCCTTCCTATTTCCACCCAAAAGTTTTTCTACTCACCTTTTCTCATCATGATAATGAACGAGAAAATCTTCACAATCAAATAGAAAGAGGAGAAGAAAGAAAAAAATCAATTGCAATTAACTAACCGATTAATACAACTGTCATAATAGTTACTTAATCTCTCAAGGTAAATCAACTGACCAATCAACTATTATCAAGACAGATTAAACCTTCGATTCCTGGCAATCTAGATTAATCATGAAATCTGATCCTTTGAGCATTAAAAATGAATTTCAGTGAAAATTTACCTTAAAACAAAGACAAATCATTAATTCAATTGAAGTAATTTAATCTTTAAAGATATGTTATCGTTTCAAAATTACCTTTATCATTTTTTTTATTCTCTATCCTATCAAATATTTACTCTTGATTCAATTTCGTTTTGTTATTGTGCAATTGATTATAATACTGAGTATAATATTTTGTTCAATTTTAAACAATGTTGATTCCGTTGATCTTTTTGTTTTCTTGATCCAACAAATTGAAGGCCTTTGTTTTTTACCAGAACTTTTTCTTTGTCAAAGTTATTACATTTTTCTTACTCGATCATCATTTTCAGAACTTTTTTCTCACTCTTTTCTCCCATCTTTAAATCACATTAAAGTTAACTACAACAGGATAGATAATATTAGTTGAGATGAATTTTCTTTTCCTTTAGTTTAACATCAAGAGAACGACTCAGACAGTCATGATGATTCACATTTCTCTGAATAATGTTGAAATATATATATATTTATATTTACTTTGCTCGTAGAAAAGTGGATATAAAGTCACTATTGAAGAAAGGGGAAAAATAATACTCTTTCATCTTCTCTTTCCTTTTCTCTTTAATATTATATTGTTTACAATTCTGAGCATTCTTCAGGCAGGAACTTGAGTGAGCGTTCACCCATTCAAAAGTATCCATGTTCTATCTCCATGCAATTCCAATTCATTTCATTCCAAATCATTTTCGTCACCATTATACAACCATCATCATTATCATCATGATATTTTCTCACTGAGGAAACGAAAAGACAGTAAAATTACACTAAATGTAAAGCTATGTAACCTTTACATTCATTGAAAATCTTTCGTCCCTTTCTCGATTGTTACATGTAATATTATCATTGTTGTTTCTTCGTATTTCGAACAGTTCTAAGGTTAAAGTCATCGATTTACTAACAGAGGTTTATATTTACTTTTTTTTCTCTACCTGCCACTCCTTCTTTGAACCCTTTTCTCTAATCTAACTTATTTGTTTCCAACTTTTTCTCGTTATTTTTCCATGATACTTAGATAATAATATATTATTATTATTCTCGAAACTTTTTTCAAACTTTTACTATCATTTTTACCTGAACATATTCATGTCATCTTGAATTTGTGTACAAGTATTAAGCTAAAATTGTTCTAACAAAGATAAATCTCTCAAGCAATTGCACCAAATTTAATGCTACGAAAATGATAATAATAATAGTTACCCAGTTTCTTTTTTTTCTATCCCATTCTCTGCCTGATTTTATGCTGTCACTTCAAGTCTTTCGATTATCAGGTATCATGAATTTACCATGGAAATAAAATTGAATATTAATATTAATTGAAAGATGTTACGGAAAATTCAAAACATAACTTTCTCTTATTTTTTCAGTCTCTCAGAAATCACAGAACTTTTCTTGAGTCACTTTCTATCGCCTATCAGAGTACATCTTTCATCATCATCCAGAGCAGATTAAGATTGATGGAGGAAAAGTTGAATGAGCTTCAGTGTTAATATATTATTATGAAACTGATTATTTCATTTGCTGAGTTTCTCCAATGAATTCACACATGAGGTTATCATATATATATAACTTTGAATATTATATCCACTGTCTTTCAACAAAGTTTGGTTACTTGGGTGGATAAAGATTGATACTCATGATGATTTGATATTAATTTTGATTAAAATGTTTGTTTTTTTCTTGCTTTCTGCTTAGGAATATGTTGCATGGGAAAAGGGTGTGTATCAGAATAAGTTGACAACCTTGGCAGCTAATAGAGATGAACTACTTCGTTTAGCATCTAACCCATCAATTCCGTACATGGTGGATGGTGATGAGGAAGGTATTCCATGAGGAGGAAATGATATTGTAGCCACATCAGGAAGCTTCGAGTGTAATCTTACTGAATAAGGTGTTGATGGTGAAACATTGAGATTACTCGATTTTATTGATAACTTATCAGCATCAAGATATTTTGATTGAAGTTCAACCTTTTCCAAGCATATTGAACATCTTGGTAAAATTGAATCAACTGCATCTTTTTCATTTTGTAATTTATCTAAACTTTTATTACAATTCAATGATTTTAACATTGACTCTAAAGGTGTTGATTCTATTGAAATGAGACCATGGTAATGACGTGAGAAATTATCATTATTTTGAATTGGAAAACAAGCTGAAGCCACTGATTTGGGTCTATCAGGTTTACAAAGAGTCTCTTCAGTTAATGGATCAATGGTGTGTACGATCATTGAAAAAACTCCTGAATTATTTGTATTTGAATTTATTATCGGCACTGAGCACCTACGATTATACTGAAAAGAAAAAAGGAATTGGTGAAAGTTTCAAATATAAATAAACGATAATGAGAACCATCAGAATCGTTTAACATCATTGTTTTAAACAACATGGTAATGCAAAACTTTACATATTGACTATGAATAAGTTTGAATGCGTGATATACCATGTGCATTGTTAATTCTAAGGATGAAAAACTTAACAACACTTACAGTATGAACAGGCACTTGGTTAGCTTGATTATCAATCTTGGTGTCATCAATGATACTTTGTATTCTAATTTTATTTCCTCTCATTGTATTAAACTTAATATTTCTGGCTTCATTTTTCATGGACCCAATTGACTTCTCTGCAAAATTCATTGAACTAGTTGTATTTACTTTTCCTCTTGAAACAAAGTTTTTAATCAGCTTTTCAACGGCCTCATTGTATTTCATGAAGAAAACGTAACCAGCATACCACAGTAGCATTATCAATGCTTCATACCTGAAAATTTTTAAGAAAGCAAGAAATTAAATGTCGAATTTAGAAATGAACCTATTATTATATAAAACAAGTATAAAATAATATCGTGCCATGTAAGCTCAAGCTGTATTCGCATTGATCAATATCTATAGAGGGCCAGATTAAAACTTAATATGTTCAACATAGGTGATTTGGTTGAAGTGTTTACTTCTTCAATGTGATTTCACTAATAATATGCATCATTTTTATCTTTATTCTAGATGGTGAAGCTAACAAACAATTGAATATTAATTGTAGTACATAATTTGTAATCTTCAAATCAGGATATAAACAATTTCATGATAAGTTCATTACCGCAAATACAGCAAAAAAAATTTTCAATGAATAAAATGGTTTGTTTTTGGCATCTTGTCAGAAAACTGAAACAAACCAGTTTTTGCTGGAAAGCGTTAGCTTCACATCCGACGAAATACGTGCAAATAATGTTTTTTTACAAAAAAATGATTTGATATATTTGGCATCTGACAAAATTCAAATCAATATACTTCTATAGCGAAAGGCATTTTAGATTTGACCTCTGAATAAATATAGATAAATATTTTTTAAAGAATATGGTTGGTTAGATTTGGCATCTGACCAAATTTAACTTAAAATATTTTAATGAAAAAATGGTCTGTTAGAGCATTTAGTTGTCCGAGAATTCACTGGTTTGGTTCGTACAAAACGCCGACGGTCCACAATATGAAAGCACTCATTTCAGAAACAACCTCGTCTCCACAATTACTGAATATTGGACTAGAAAGCTTCTACAATGCTGCCATTTTTTACTCTGGGAAAATTTAAATTGGGTTATTTAAATACGTACCATAGGCCAGACCTTCCATGGTACGAATGGTTACCAAAAGTTCACGCTGGACTCGATTTGTTGACCCTGATTATTTATTGTTGTTTAATGATTGTGGATTGAATTTTTTTTGCTCTCTCTTGTTCTTTCGTGACTTTTCGTTGTAATGAACATTGTTGATTTAAATGTTCGCCAAATTTGGTTGACTTCCGAAATCCTTTTCGGCACGACAAACAATCAAGAAATTGTTGCATAGAACATGAAGTACCAAATGGTGAAATAAGCATCATCACCCTTGTTGAAAAAGTAACAACAAAATTAATAATAGAAAGAAAGAAAAAAACAAGAACAACTTACATTACAAGTTCGAAACAATCTCCTTCTCGTCCTTTTTGATATGCATCAACCATTCTGAATATGTCGATTAAATTTGGCAAAGTTTTTTGGTTTTGATCACCGTGATGACTGAATCGACGGTTTGGTCGAGTAATTGACCATCCTGGTTTGCATCACTTATTATTTTTTGTAGCCAGACCTCTAACCTCGATCAAAATGACCATCCAAATAGGTTTAATTGCATGTGTGTTTTTTGAAATCACGGTTCTCCATTGCAAGACGCTCTTGAAACGGAAAAATCAAGGCATGAGCTCGTACTGAAGCTTTCATGGTGAACGGAGAGCCACAGGGTATTAATAAAATGTACACCCATAAGCTTTGAGTATGTGCCGTAGAACAGTTGACCTATCACCATGATTTTTGTTTGTACAATCAGCACAATCAGTAGAGGAACAAAGAGCTTGAGTACCTGCTGGTTTACCCCCCAATTTAACGATTTCCAATTTTTGTCTTGTTAGCCACCACATTTTCATAATTTTCGACTTGTTTCGAACTGATCACCTGGTAAATGCATGGAAAGGTGTTCTTTTGTTTGGCCTTGTCTTTCTAATTTACGTTTGTTTTTCATCACAGATTAAAGAAGATTAAAGAAGTAATAGTTTTCCTGTAAGTTAAAATAAATAAAAGAGATAGATCAGGTAAGATAGGGAGAAAAACTGTATCAAACTATATTTGTCTCACTTGGTATAAAAAATCATTAAGAAAACAACAGAAGTTGGTATTAATTTATTGTAAAATTAACTATTGAGTGAATGAGAATAAAAATTAATTTGAATAACTATTATTACCGTGATGACATTATATGTATAAATACAGTATTGAACAACGCTTTTTTCAGTTACTTAAGCTATTTTCAGTTACTTAAGCTATTTAGACGTGCGTTGATGACTAACTATAATGTGAGATATGATCCACGGATTATGAATCGTAAGTCTGACTTTGAAATAAAGCTATTTTTTGTAACTGTCTTATACCTTAGCTTTGATGAGCTTGTACTGGAGCAGTTGATGGTTTGAATGGTTTCTCAATTGTTTTCAATAAGATCATTTTTCAATATCCAAATCAAGCACTGAATTACCATGGCAGTTGTAGTAATGGGTCTTGGCAACGTTTCACCCATCAACTCACTGTTTGTACACTTACACCAAGTTAATGAGCGATGGCATGAAAATGTTGAAGCCTTGTTGATGATGAATTATTATTTCAAGCCTTTTGTTTGGGCTGAGGACATAATTTATTTGTTAAACTAATGAAAATTTGAATGTAAAAAAGTAACGTGTTTTGATCAAATGATTGCTTAAATTGTTATTAAATTTTAAAATGGGCGGTTAGATTTGGCATCTGGCCGAATACTAATGCAAAATGTTTTAAAAAATGCTCGATTAGATTTGCATCTGGCCAAATAGTCATGCATTATTTTTTAAATGGTCTGTTAGATTTGGCATCTGGCCGAATACTAATGCAAAATGTTTTAAAAAATGCTCGATTAGATTTGGCATCCGGACAAATAACAATCATTTTTTTTAAATGGGCGGTTAGATTTGGCATCTGGCCGAATACTAATGCAAAATGTTTTAAAAAATGCTTGGTTAGATTTGGCATCTGGCCAAATACTCATGCATCATTCTTTGCTAAAATGGTCGGTTAGATTTGGCATCTGGCCAAATACTCATGCAAAATGTTTTAAAAAATGCTCGATTAGATTTGGCATCTGGCCAAATACTCATGCACCATTCTTTAATAAAATTGGCGGTTAGATTTGACATCTGGCCAAATACTAATGCAAAATGTTTTAAAAAATGCTCGGTTAGATTTGGCATCTAGCCGTATAATAATGCATTATTTTTGAAAAAAATGGTCGGTTAGATTAGGTTGGTTAGGTTTGTTTATTTTGTTGAATGCACAAATTCTCAACCCTTCAATTACATTCGGCATCTGGCCAGAAGCACATGCACAGTGTTTCAAAAATGGTCGGTTAGATTAGGTTGGTTAGGTAGGTTTGTTTATTGTGTTGAATGCACAAATGCACAACCTATGTATTACAAAAACGTGTCTCAAATGAAACAGTCTATATAAAAAATGGCCGGTTAGATTCGGCATCCGGACAAATCACAATCATTTTTTTTAAATGGTCGGTTAGATTTGGCATCTGGCCAAATACTCATGCATCATTCTTTGCTAAAATGGTCGGTTAGATTTGGCATCTGGCCAAATACTAATGCAAAGTGTTTTAAGAAATGCTTGGTTAGATTTGGCATCTGCACGAATACTCATGCATTTTTTTAAATGGTCGGTTAGATTTGGTTGGTTAGGTTTGTTTATTTTGTTGAATGCACAAATTCTCAACCCTTCAATTACATTCGACATCTGGCCAGAAGCGCATGCACAATGTTCTAAAAATGGTCGGTTAGATTTGGCATCTGGCCGAATACTCGTGGACTATTTTTTTTAAAAAAGTTCTGTTAGATTAGGTTGGTTAGGTAGGTTTGTTTATTTTGTTGCATGCACCAATTCTGAACCCTTCAATTACGAAAATGTGCCTTACATAGGACGGTTAATATAAAAATGCTCAATATCATTTGGTGTCTGGCCAGAAGTGCATGCATAATTTTGCAGTAATTGTTCGGTTAGATTTTCCATCTTGCCAAATACTCATGCACAATGTTTCAAAAAAATGCTCGGTTAGATTTGGCATCTGGCCAAATAGTCATGCATTATTTTTTTTAAATGTTCTGTTAGATTTGGCATGTGGCTATGGATAAAATACTCATGGATTATTTTTTAAAAAATGGTCGGTTAGATTAGGTTGGTCAGGCAGGTTTGTTCATTCAAATGAATGCACAAATTTTTATCGCATCAATTAAGGAATATCTGCCCTACATAGGACAATCAATAAAAAATGGGAGGTTACATTTGGCATCTGGCCAAATACGCGTGCACAATGGTTTAAAAAATGGTTTATTAGATTGGGTTGGCATCTGGCCAAATAACCGTGAATGCCGTTTTTAAAAAAATGTGCAATTTCAGTTTTAAAATGATTTGGGATCCGGCCAAATACACGTTCAAATTGTTTTTTGCAAAGTGGTCTGTTAGATTATGTTGGTTAAGTAAGTTTGTTTTTTGATGAACGCATAAGTTCTCAATCAATTAATATTATAAATGTTTGCTTAACATTGGCATAATTTACTCTAAAACCATGTTATCATTCTCATTATTTCGTGTTTATGAATGCAAACGGGATATTTGTGCAATACACCTACCGGACAACAGATTGCTATATGAAAAGATCATGTTGAACACGAAGGTAAAATAGCATAGAAGTAAATAGCTTCATGTAAAAAGTTCATCATCATTACAATCATGTTAGCGATCATATTAACAGAAAAGTTAGTATACTTTTTTTTTCTCTGCTTACCATCTCTCTATCTATTCTTCGAATTATGAAAAATTCGAAGAATTCTTAGAGCAAGAGTTATAAATCGAGAAAAATTGTTTTGGCTGCTAAATGATCAGGTGATGTGAATACTTTGAGTGTATGTGATATATTTGTTTCGATATGGTTACTGGGAATTGTAAGAAGGTAAAAAAGACTAAACTGAGAGCATAAATATGAGGATGAAGGAAAAATGAAGGAAAAATGAAGGTTACTCATACCATCATACAATAAAGGTGGTAAATAGAGTGTAAAAAGGCGACAAAAGTTAAAAGCATTAAAATCTTGTGGATATTATTAATAAGTTTCTAGTGAAAATACGTTTCAAACTTATCTTTTACAGTAATT